AAAAAAAAAAAAAAAAAAAAAAAACATACAGACGAATTGAGTACCTCCTTCTTTTGGGAAGTCGGTCAAAAAGGAGTGATGATTGTAATGACGTATGATAGTTATATGGCGGAAAAAAACCTATTGCGCCGAGGAGTAGGATAGGGGGGAAGATGATGAAAGTTTGGATATGGCCAACTGCGACCGACTGATACCTGGATTTGTCTTCTGCATGAGACACGAAAATAATTACCTAGCACTATATAGCCATGTATGGCCAGGTTGCGTACGGGATGGTGCACAACGCGAGGAGAGCCGCTGTCGGCGGCGGAGCGTGAAGCGGTGGCCGCTGTTGTCCGCCGGGCAGAACAGCTAGACGAGCTAGAGGCCCGTCGCGTCGGACGCCTGGTGGCCAGGCTTGAAGGTAAACTACCATAAGTAACTACTACAAAAAACTCTGGTCGTTTGTGCCATGGGGACATCAATCCCCGGTAGTTTATATCCAGAGTACTAAAGCAACCTTGAGCTTCGATTCATCTTTGCCCTTTTTCTATTTCGAGCAAGTGATAGCGTTCCTAGACTTTTTCAGCACGTCAGTCTCTCAGATTTTATATAACCACGTCCGAGTTACCCTTTCCATTGGCCTTTGAATGACCTTGAATTAATATTTCCAGTGAGGCTGTGGCGATATTTTTTTATTTTCATATTAAAATATTTTAATACAGGAATGCGTCGATCAGCCCAAGGACCCGCGCCAAGGGCGTGTCTCCTCTGCGGTGAGACGTCACGGCTGCTAGCACCGCTCAGGACCTGTTCCATCTGCCGTAACTCCGCCTGTCCTAAATGTGTGATTGACACGCCCCCACACAGGTGAATATATCCAGGAATTGAATTCCATTAACAATACGTGGGCTATGGATGTTGCGAGGGTAAGCAAAAGGGCAACTGGTAGACCTAGCCTAAATCATATGCTGGCGATATCGGCCAACAAAGGTATTTAGAATTAAAATGGGTGAAATTATACTTGCAATAGCTCAAAAACAAACATTTAATATATGTCGTCTGTGCTGGAAAGTTATTTTACTGAAGCTTGCATGTATCACTGCTTTTTATATTATATTTAGTTCTAGTTAATGTTATTTTAGTAATACCAGAGCGAAAATATCCCTTTAAGAAAAGATAGAATATCATTTCTATAAAAAGCACTCATGAGTACAAAAGACTAGGCAGGGGTATAAATATTTTTATCCTAACCCCGACTTTGAAATACCACACACTAGCGCTAAACTTAGAGCGGCTACCTTTGACTAAAGTGTTGTGCGATTGTCGATTGTTTCGCAGCCAATTCAACTGTTTAGTTGCACAACTAAATATCGTGTAGAGTGTCCACCTCCATATAAGCCCAAGGAATCAAAGCAAGACCAAACAGTTGTGTGACAGTTTAATCAAAGGTGTACGCGCGCTCTTTGTCTGAACTGATATTGCGTGAATATAGGGTAATATTACAATTTGCTATATTCAACAATCAATATGATATTTGATATTGAAAATTCTTCACATATCGGAATGTGTAACATTCAGTCAACATTGGTAACAGTGGTAGAGCCCGCTTTAACATCTTCGCACGAATGGGCCGGCTCGCCCGGTGTAATACCACGACCACACAGAAAACAGGCGTGAAGTGGAAGCAATTCCGCGTTTCGTCTGATGAGTGTGGTGCCGGAGGCCTAAATTTAGTCCCTTTCTCTTTCCACCCTTTTCTTAAGAGGAAAGGATGGGGAGGAAAAGTGGATTTGACGGTGGAAGAGACGCATAGGAAGGGGAAATGTCCTCTTTATGTGCGTCTCCTCCTCCGTCAATTAAGGGTAGGCAACGCATCTGCAATTGCAGATGTCTATGGGCAGCGGTCGCTTCGCCATTTTGGCAATTTCAGGTGGCCGCTTGCTCGTTTGCCACCTTATTTTATAAAAAAAAAAAAATATTCTAGGTCGTAATATTCAATGATATCTATAAATAGTCATTTTAAGAGACATTATATTTTGGGCTTATTTAATTTTTGCCATTTTAACTCTGGCAGTTAGTGGCGGTAGTACAGCAGTGACTCGGTAAAACTAAACTCTCGCTGTACAATCCATAAAACCAATATATGTGCCACTAGCTGTTCCCGTGCGACTTCATCCGCATAAAATTATGAAAATTTTATTTTATTGTTTACATTTGTCAAATTATCAATAGCAAATGTCAAAATGACATGACATGATGACAACCTTGCTTCTTTGATGTTGGCAGCAACTTATGGTCTCTTTCCCACATTAGGGTTTTTATCCAAAATATTTACCCTCTAAGTTTAATGGCATATAGCCTAAAGCGTGAAGCAAGTGTAGGGCTTTTTATTAAAAAAAGAATTATTAAAAAATATGCTGTAATTGCTGACATCTTAGGCAACAAAGAAGTGTGTGTTTACGCTTTATTATAATAGTATAGATAAACACACGTTACCTATGTTCTTTTGTACACAGATCACCAATATACTCCAGGGAGCAGTACATGTGCAACCTGTGCGCGGAGACCAGGGAAATGTGGAAGAAGTCCGGCGCCTGGTTCTACAAGGCCTTGCCCAAGTATATACTACCAGAACGGAAAGTCACCGGCAGGTACCACGACACCGAACTGGCGAGATCTTTGCAAGTTAGACAGGTAACTATCATTTCAGATCTACAAGCATTATATTATCTTAACTTATCCATGCAACTAGCTGTTCCGTACGGCTTCATCCGCATGAAATTATGAAAATTTTATTTTATTGTTTACATTTGTCAAATTATCAATCTTTCTTTTTTTGACGTTGACAGGAACTTATGGTGTCTTTCCCACATTTGAGTTTTTATTCAAAATATTAACCCCTTAAGTTTAATGGCGTGAAAATATATAGCCTAAAGCATGACGTAAGTGTAGGGCTTTTTATTAAAAAAAGAATGATACAAACAATATGCTGTAATTTCTGACATCTTAGGCAACAAAGAAGTGTGTGTTTACGCTTTATCTTTATTATAATAGTACAGATAGATTCTTCTTGGCTCTTTGGCTTCTTATTGACTCCATAAGCACAGGATTCCTGGTTAAGGAGCCAAGACGATATTCATGCTGTAAGATAACAGTGGTAGAACCCGGTTTAATATCTACTGTAGGCCTCGCCTTAGGCTTAACCTCGACACAAAGACAGGCGTAAAGTGAAATCGATTCCTTGTTTCGTCTGATGTCTGTGTATTGGAGGCCTAATTTAAGTCTTCTTTCCCGTTCTACTCTTTTCTTACAAGACTAGAATGGGGAAAGTGCCTGACGATTAGGTAACTTTAATCTTACTAATATTATAAAGGCGAAAGTTTAGATGGATGTTTGTTAACGTTTTTAGCCTAAACGGTAAAACGGATCTCTATGAAATTTGACATAGACGTAGAGTATAGTTTAGAACACGTATGCTACACATTTTTGTTTTTTCTACTTGCAAGCAGACGGAGTCGCTGGCAAAAGTTAAATTTTTAAATATTTTCATTATATCGTTCAATATGAGAAATATAAATTCATACAGAAAAAAAAACTTTAGATACTTATTACTTTGATCAAACTAAGATCTATTCCACAAAGAAAATCTTAATAGAAATTTATATTAGTATCGGGAAATATATTTAAACAATACTTTATTGTAAGTATCGTCACACGAGCAACAAAGAAGCATTCGCGACTCGATTTCCGCCTTCAGCTTTCCTTCAGACCTTGCAAACGATTTGTCATTAATTTCCTATAGTTGGTTCGTAACCGTAGATTTCCACTGTCGATACAGTTAAAAGAAAACCCTACTATTAACGATTTTTCTCATAACAGTCGTAATAGTACGTTTTTATAACCATATTCTATGTAAACGCAGCTTCGAGCATATACTCGTAAAAAACTATGTTATGACGTCATCGTATCAATCAATTACATCTATTGTCAATTGAAGCCAATTTACTTATTAACAGACAGTCGAGACGCCATTTAAGGGTTACTTAAGTTTCCATTAATTTGATTATTAGTGTGTTCCATTAATGTTAGGTTAAATTGCAAAGTAAAACTCATTTACGTAGTTCCGAGACAAATTTTATCAAATCAGCGAAATAAAAACACTAACGAATGGTTTAATGTAGCAGGGAACCAGTCATAAAATGTCTAACCACCATTCGAAACCTACAACTAATCGCACGATAAGTTGACCAACCAGTCGAGTCTGCACAAACTCTACAAGTAAATGTTTTTATTTCTGTATAGGTATGTAATTAGTACGGCCGGTTACCCTAATAATTAAGCTATATATTACTTGACTGCGAAGGAGCCAGCTGAAAATTAGCGCAGGAACTGCTTAGTCCATCTTGCATACGCTGAGCTGGCTACCTTTTGCCACGATTGTGTTTTCTTTAGAATAAGTCCTTTTATGTAATTTATATTTTGTGGCAATAAATACATATTCATTAATTTATTAATTAACGAGCTGTTGCCCGCGACTTCGTCCGCGTGGTATTAGAAAACATACGAACTATATAAATTACAAAAAGCAACGTATCCCTCGGGAACCGGACATTTTTCTGGGATGAAGCTTATCTCATGTGTACTCCAGACTTTGTTTTATATCTGTGCCAAATTTCAATAAGATATGTTGAAACGTTGCAGAATGATCGAGTGAACATTAAAAAACTAAATTAATGAATCCCACGGGAACCGTAAATATTCCCGGGATAAAAAGTAGCCTATGTGTTCTTCCAGACTATGCTCTAAACCTGTGCCAAATTTCATAGAGATCCGTTCAGCCGTTTAGGCTACAAACGCTAACAAACATCCATCCATCTAAACTTTCGCATTTATAATATGATAGGAAGATTAAATCATTCATTATTCATGTACAAATCGGCCGATAAATCGAGTATATTGTAGTAATGAGCAAACAATATCAATTTGATACAGTTATCGAGAGGACGAAACTTATAATTTGGTTAAAAACTAGTACCGTGGAATAGTTTCCCGGATAACATCATTATGAACCTTTATTTACTTTCATTATGTTAGGAACTTCATAAATTAATGAGTTTACTTCGTTCTTTAACTTTCAGATAAATTCTGATATTATTTACCAAAGATATTTAAATTATATATAGACGAGGCATAGTGAACAAATATTTTTTCATCGCTGAGAGTAGCCTCAGTGGTAGAGAAGAAAGGAGTAAAAGGTTAGCATGGTATGGGCATGTTATGAGTGATGAATCGCATGTTACAAGGAGAACGTTAGTTATGAGTGAGACACCGGTAGAGGTAGACCTAGAAAGAGATGGATGGATTGATCAAAAAGGGAGTGATGACTGAGATGACGTATGATAGAGTTATTTGGAAGACAAAAAACTGTTGCGCCGCTACGGAAGTAGGATAAGGAGAAAGATGATAATAATGACTCTCTTTGGAAGGTACTATATCAATTGTCAAGTTTAGAGCCACGTCGTGTCTTATATGACATGTTATAAAACATTTTACAAAATTATAATAAACTCCATCTTTTGTTAATTTAAGTAAATTAATGTTTTTAGAACTAAACAATAGAGTTAGTGACATTGTGTGAAAACACTCGAGTGAATTTTCAACTATGCCCCCTCTATATAATTTTTAAATGTGCTATTCACCTACTTGAAGAGTTTAATCGAGGAATATCTACAAGAAGACATCTTTAAAAGGAATGGTATCTCATTTTAATCACAAAATGAAAAAGAGATGTCAATATTTTAAAGGGAAATCTACAGTTAAAATGCTTTTGTTATAGGAGGCAGGTAACAGCAGTAATGAATGCAAAACGGATTCAGAGCCTGGCTCGCCTCTTAGTGTACACGCTCCATCATTTTCAAGACAACCGAGTAATACAGACAGTCGAAAATCTATTTCTTCCACTCAAGTAAGTTTAATAATAAGGCTGTGTGTAAATTATCATCATCACCAGCTCACTTCGGAACTTATCCTATGTTAGGACTAGGCTATAGTCAACCACGCTGTACTGCGGGTTGACTTCACACATATCTTTGAATTTCTTCGCCGATATGTGCAGGCATCACGATGTTTGCCATCACCGTAAGAACGTCGGGTAAATTATTATGGAATTAAGAAAACGAAAATATCATTAGTACGGTGGGATTCGAACCCAGGACCTGTAGATTATAAGTCAAGTGCTCAAACCCCTGAGCCACCGACACTCTTGTCTGTCTCCTAGTTTAGCTATGATCACAAGATGAATGGCATATCATAACAAAAATATTAACTCGCAAAATGCAGAAAGATGTAAATTTTTTGCCATAAAACGGGAGAATCTGTACGGTATCTGATTATTTGCTCTATTTCATTTGTTTGAGATGACGCACGCGTGACGTAGTGACGCGACAGGCATACATCAAGTGCGTCACGTCTGGGTCAGCCCTTTTGTTAGGTTTTCATGTAATTCTGGCAGTTAATTTTATGTTACAATAATTAAAATTATCACAAACTAGCTGTTCAAGTGCGGCTTCATCAATTACTATAATGATATAACATTTGCTGAAAATCTTTTATGAGTAAGCATGGCAACTTTAGCATTGTAGTTTTTGTCTCTTTCCTGCATGATGGTGATTTCAAATTTATTTACTACCTGAGTTTAATAGCGTGAAAATATATAGCCTAAAGCGTGTCGTAAATGTAGGGCTTTTTATTAAAAGAATATTGATTTAAAATATGCTGTGATTGCTGACATGCTACATAACTAAGTAAGTGTGCTTTATTGCATAAAAATAGTTAAGTTACAGGTATAGATAGATATATAACGCTAGAGTGAGGTAAATTATCTTTATCACATATCGAATTCTTAAAAAAATCTCTAAAAGATTCAGATAATTTAATTTCCACATTCAATTTAGTACATCTAGTTTTTTTCCTGTAACACTCAAAGGACGCACACCACGAATGGAGTGAAACGGACATCCTAACTCATGGAGTCAGTGGTCTCAGTCTACATAGAACTGAAAGCATAAGCCAACGGTCCATAGCCGGTCTCAAACGTACCGGCAGTAAGGGAAGTGCCTACAGCCTTCGCAGTATAAGGAAAGAGGTCCCCAAACCAGCAGAGAAACCTACAATACCCGACTCTGGTTTCGGAACGCTGGAGATTAAATTATCTTATGATAATGCTACGTCATCACTTGCTGTAACAGTTTTAAGAGCTAGAGGTCTAATCGGAATGGATATGACTGGATTATCAGACCCATTCTGTAGATTGGAAATTTTACCGAGAGGTATGAATTCCTTCTCTATATACGTTTTGTTTGTAAAGTTTCAAGAAGTTTCATTCTAACGTATTTGCAGAAGGAACTTATTCGAACAGACTCCGGACAAAGACCGTACACAAGACGAAAAATCCAGAATTCAATGAAACTGTACACTTTTTCGGTATCACAGAATCTGATCTGGCTGCGAAGTCACTGGAAATATATATATTTGATGATGACAGGTAAGAAAACATAAATCTAGTTCGCCCCTCACTCTATCCACGTGAAATTTAAAAAAGCAAAAATATCCTATGTGTTCTTCCAGACTATCTTCTACGTCTATGCCAAATTTCATCGAGATATGTTCAGCCGTTTAGGATACAAAATCTAACAAACATCCATCAATCTGAACTTTCGCATTTATAATATTAGTAAGACAGTTAGTTCTAACAATCGAGAATCATCTTATGCGTACTGTCCATAATAATTTTCAACTACCGTCCAACTTACTAATATTATAAATTCGAAAATTTATGTAATTGTTTGTTACAGTTTGTAGCCAAAATTGCTGGAGGGATAACGATGAAATTTGGGATAGATGTAGAGGATAGTCTGAGAGAAAACATAGGCTACTTGCTATTGTTAGGACGAAAATGCGGGCTACAGCTAGTCGTTATACTAAATCTGATGATAATCCCTACAAGAATTACCTGATAAATATTTCAGATATGGTTGCGACGAAATGGGTTCCGCTACAGTTTCCCTCAGAGATTGTGTGAAGGCTCCTGTCCAGCTGCGGTTGGCTTTGTCCGGAGCCAGTGGCAGTGAGCCAGCTGGACCCAGGGTGCTGTTAGCGCTTTGTTACAACACCAAGAAACGTGCCCTCGTCGTCACTATTTGTAGAGCTGCTGAACTGCCGCCTCAAGACAGCAATGGATATTCAGATCCTTTCGTCAAATTGTAAGTATTAAGTCAATCTTACTTCTGCTATTAGTTCTGTCTCACAGTCATTGAGTGGTCTTATGCTTAGAGGAGAGTTCTACTAAATCTTCACTTAGAGTCCTTTGGTTACTAGGAATAGGCCAGTACAGTGACATGATCAAGAAGAGAGTGATGACTGAGATGACGGATGATAGAGTTATTTGGAGGACAAAAACCTGTTGCGCCAACTACGGGAGTAGGATAATTTAGTTCTTTCTTCCCTGTTACCTCCAATTTAAAGCTTGTTTAATTACTTCGACTAAGTAACTTGCTATCTTCAAGTACGGTACTTATTATTAACTTACGGCTAAATACTGAAACATCATTTTTATGTGCGTGTTTTGACACCAGTCTCATACCCAAAGGGGAAATCAAATAATTATGTTTCTTATTTTATTTTATACATCGGCGTCTTAAATGATAAGGCCACTCTTGACTTTCCCTCTCTCTTAAATTCCTAACAAATTTTTCTATCGTCTATCAGGTCGTAAGAGCGTATGTAGCGAAGTATTTAAGATTCGTTTCAGTATTTGGCCATTAATATTAGGATTAAGTTTTCTGCAGCTAAAGTATTACTCTTTCCAGACATCTTGATCCTGATCCATACCACAAAAAGCATAAAACATCGATAAAATGGCGTAACCTAAATCCCGTTTGGAACGAGGAGTTTCCATTCGAGACGCGTCCGACGGAATTGTCGCGGCAAAATTTGACATTGACGTTTTGGGACAAAGATTATGGAAAACCGAATGACTTTTTAGGCAGTTTAGTGTTAGGCGCTAGTAGTAAAGGGCGAAGGTTGAAGCATTGGATGGATTGTATCAAATTCCCGGACCATAGACACGAGCAGTGGCACGCTTTGACTGATACACACCATTTATAAATTATACCATAGACAATATGCTTTTTTAAATCGAATATTATACAAAAGATTGTAACTTTATTTTCATTAAAAAAATATTGCTTTGGTTAATTTGAATAGTTTTATTTAAGAATATAATGAAAATGGTAATAAACGTGAAATATATGTTTGCTATACGTTACTTTTTAATGTTTATTCTTACCAATTACTTACCAAATAAAGCTAACCTCAAAATGTAAGGAAACTTATGAAATAATTGAATGTTACAAAAATTGCTGTTATTGTTATAAATTGTATTACATATTTTTAACGAAATATTATAAAATTTAGTATTTTTCTATAATATATTGCCAAGTAAAGTGTGCCAATGTTACATATAGGTAGATTTAAATTTCCTATATAAAAGTTTATACCTTGTTGTCTTTCCATCATTGCATGTTCTATTTGAAATATGGAGGCATTTGATACATAAGACATTAAATATAAAAATATTTTTATTGTATTTATATGTTATCAATATAAATGTAAACGAAACCCTATATCTAAATAGTAAAATATTTTGTCCATTCAAAAAGAAATGTTTTATTTAAAGCAAGCTGTTCCCGAGCGGCTTCTTTTTATTGTTTACATTTGTGAAATGTAAAATTCAAATGCATAAGTTACAAACTTGCTTCCTTGATGTTGGCAGCAGCATATGGTTTCTTTCCCACATTAGGGTTTTATCCAATTTATTTACCCCCTAAGATTAATAGTGAAAATATATAATAGTGAATATATAAAGCATCACGTAAGTGTAGGGCTTTTTATTAAAAGAGAATTATCCAAAAAAATGCTGTAATTTCTGACATCTTAGACAACAAAGAAGTGTGTGTTTACGCTTTATTATATTAGTATAGATTACGCTGTTTCATTTCCTACTTAATGACAACGGGAAGGGTAGTAATATGACAGAAAAAAGATTCTTTGCCACAGAGAAGCTGGGGCAGATCGCTAGTACAAACCTGATTACTTTCCCTCGCCTTCAACCCCTCGAGACTCCTGTCCTTACGAGAATTAATTTGATATGCGATTTTCACACTTTTCATTATTTCATGTCCTTGACATGTTTTGTAAATCTTGTTAGTTACAGTTAATATACTAAAACTATTCAATTTTTATACCAATTTTAATCATACTAATGTTATAAATGCGAAAGTTTAGATGGATGGATTGATGTTTGTTAGAGTTTGTAGTCTAAACGGTTGAATGGTTCTCCATGAAATTCGGCACAGGTATAAAACAAAGTCTGGCGTACACATGGGTTCCTTATCCCCGAAAAACATTTACGTAGTTCGTCTGTTTTCTAATACCACGCAGACAAGGTCGCGGGCAACAGCTAGTATCTCATAAGATATCCATGAATGAATTAATCGCAATTTCTGTGTGAAAATTTTAAGGTTGATTTTCCACGAAAGGTTCGCTTTTGTTTTAAACAAAGGTCGATCTTAACCTTTCCCAGGAGGCAAATAAAACATTTAGAGCGCGCACCTTGGACTAAACTACCCCACAACTGTTTAGTCTCGCTTTGACTCCTATGCTTTATGGAAGTGCGCACACTACTCGATATTTAGTTGTGCACTCAGTTGAGGTTTGCTGAGGTTGAAGTATGGGCATGTTATGAGAAGGGATGAATCGCATGTAACAAGAAGAATGTTAGTTATGAATGTGTACCCCACATCGGTAGAGGAAAGAGATGGATGGATTGCGTGAAAGGTGACATGATCAAGAAGGGAGTGATGACTAAGACAGATGATAGATTGCTTTGGAGGACGAAAACCCGGTGCGCCGACCCTACGGGAGTAGGATAAGGCAGGGGAGATGATGAATCAGTTGATGCTGCGAAACAATCGACAATCGCACAACTATTGTGTGATAGTTTTGTCAAAATGTGCGCCCGCTCTAAAAATAGAAAGGAAGCCTTACTCAAGGAACAATTATTTCTATTAATATCTAACAAATATCTTATACCAAGAATTTATAAATAATAACGCCTAAATTGAAATTTACGAACAGAAGACTCTTAATGAAGTTTTGTTATTGTTTTCTAATAATTTCGAGGTTAATTCGCATTCTGGTCTTTATTTAATAATCTCGATTTATTTTTACATCTCACTGATTTAACAAATCTAAGTTCTTTGTAACATAGAATTGTATTTAACTGGCTGTTGCTCGCGACTTCGTCCGCGTGAAATTAAAAAATGTAGCAAATTACCTTTTTACCAGATTAATCATATATTAAACAGATTTTGTATTTTTCTTTTAATTGGTATAACTATAATTGTAATTGTAAATCTCTTTTTTTTTCAATAAAATTATTTCTATTCTTTCTATTCTATTCTACCTCCTCAAAAATTACCTTTCTAACGGTGAAAGAAATTTTAAAATCAGCCCAGTAGTTTTTGAGTTATTTCAATACATACAAAAATACAAATCTTTCCTCTTTATAATACGAGTAATAGTGTAAAGTATGGATTAAAAATCCTTTTTACAACGGCACAGAAAAAACTAACATTGTCCTAAAAAAATCTTTTTTCGGCCATTATTTTTTTATTTCTTTTAATACTAAGCTATTTCAGCTTATTTAATGAATATCGGAGTTTACTAACAATTTACATAGTAATGTAAATCTATCTAGTTTGTTGCTACACGATTTTGCTACGAACTAAGGTCAAGGTATATCGTAGACGCTACGTCGTAGCAAAATGTAGCTACGAAATACTGACGTCATCAAGTATATACTTAAGGGAAACTAATCAACCGATAAATTAATTACGTATTGGTAGACAATGGATAAGTCGATTTTATCTTTTATATAATTTTCAGTGAAGTTTTTCGTACAAAATTACATTTTTTTATTCGTGTATTACACGTTCCGGAGGGACTTCGCAAACAAAATTTTAATAAACTCCGTAGTTGAAAGAGATTTTTACATTGCTTTTAGATAAGAGATTTTTTGATGTACAGCTTAAGGCTATTTGAAGAGAAAGTATTATTCGATTTTAATACAAAAATACATTTTTGGCATACTTCTCTATAATCTATACATATAATAAAACTGGAGTGTCTATTTGTAATATCAAGAGAAAAATTCCAGATTACGGTAAGATGATGTTTATGCGTTTCTGATACCGAAATTCACATTTTAAATTTTTGTCTGTCTGTCCGCAAGCCGCGTTTTTTTTTTGGTAATCTCCGAAATGGCTGAGTCGATTTCGACCGGACATTCACTGAAGGGTAGCTGACATTGACAGACATATTATGGGCGACTTTTTTTTTAAATTCCGCGCTGTCAAAATGGCGTAATAGGTGGTACGAATTTGCGCTAACGAAGTTTGCGACGACAGCTCGTTCTTATCTTATTAATATTATAAATGCGAAGGTTTAGATGGATGGATGGATGTTTGTAGCCTAAACGGCTGAACGGATCTCTATGAAATTTGGCACAGGTTTAGTGCATAGTCTGGAAGAATACATAGGCTACTTTTTATCCCATAAATAGTTACGGTTCCCGTAGATTCATTAATTTACTTTTTTAATGTTTACTCGATCATTCTGCAATGGTTTAACATATCTTATTGAAATTTGGCACAGATATAAAACAAAGTCTGGAGTACACATGGGATAAGCTACATTGCTGAGAAATGTCCGGTTCCCGTGGGATACGTAACTTTTTGTAATTTATATAGTTTGTATGTTTTCTAATACCACGCAGACGAAATCGCGGGCAACAGCTCGTATGAAATATTTTTAACAAATAAAAACTGAAATCTTAGCAAAAAAATTATTTTACTAATGTGAAATGTTAAACAAAATAGCATGGTAATAACTCAACATAATCATATTAAAATACGAGTATCCTTGCTGTTTAATATTCATAAAAATCTCCATATTTAGACGCACCCCTAATTAAGTACTTTCAGATACAAATTCGCTTAGTAACCAACCCCTTCCGCTCTTTATTAAGCCCGCAGTATTCCAATGGACAGACTATAAGCTTTGTATTTTGTTCGCATTCCATTTTCGCCATTTTCTCGGATGTAGCGGTTGGTAACGGTCGGACACAATTAAAGCCCAACTCATAAAATGGCTCAGTGGTTTGAGCACTTAACTTCTAATCTACAGGTCCTGGGTTCGAATCCTGCATATACCAATGTGATTTTCGAATTTTATATGTAGTAATTTACCCGACGTTCTTACGGCGGAGGAAAACATCGTGATGAAACCTGTACATATCGTCGAAGAAAGGGTAGTCTCCGAGTCCCTCAGTGGAGACGTATAGTGAGCTGGTGATGATGACATTCTCTCAATTTTAACTGACACTACTTAAAAAAAACATTAAAAGTCCGTTTACACCAAGTTTCTTGCCATCTTTTTTTGTATGGTCACTTTTTAACTTATTGCTCCAATTTATTGTAAGCAACGGGCAAGTAAATTACATCATGTGTGCCTTTAGTCAAAATGTTCAGCTAAGACAGAGGAAGAACGCATGGTTTCCTAAGTTTTTTAAAATTCCACACGAAGTTCCGGGCAAAGTCTAATCATACTTATATTATAAATGCAAAAGTTTAGATGGATGGATGTTTGTTAGAGTTTGTAGCCTAAACCGTTAAACGGATTTCAACGAAATTTGGTACAGATGTAGAGGATAGACTGGAAGAACACATAGGCTACTCACTTTTGTTTTTTATTAATTCCTCTCGGACGAAGTCGCGGGTAAAGCTAGTTGTATATAAATAGTGAGATCTACGTAAAAAGGAACGTTTTTAAACTGATGGAAACACTAGATGGTAACGTATCTGCGAAGCTAATCAAATTGTCGCGTTTTATAGAATCTGTGGAAACTCAATAAAACATTTTCCGATATAAAAGAAATGTAAAATTGGATTAAATTTCATCGTCTTCTTTCTTTTTTTTCCTTTTCTCATGGATTTCAAATTATGATACTTCGTACTTTCCTGTTATTGAAAGGTATGTTAATTTATTTTGTGGACCCTATAAATGTCTTTTAGGTTATTAAAAAAAACAAAAGTAGGTAGCCTAGGTGCACTAGTTTATACGTATACCTTAACCTACACTTTTTTTATATAACATAAGGTGGCAAACGAGCAAGCGGCCTGAATCCACCGAAATGGAACACTTTCCACAAACATTATCCATCCGCACATCCGCACAAACATACGCAATTGCAGATGCGTTGCCCACCCTTAAGTGACGGAGGAGGAGACGCACATTAAGAGGAAACTTCCCCTTCCTATGTGTCTTCTCCACCGTCAAATCCACTTTTCCTTCCCATACTTTCCTTTTAAGAAAAGGTTTGGAAAGGGAAAGGGACTAAAATAAGGCCTTCAATTTCAAAATTTTCAAAATTCCAAACGCGGAATTGCTCCCACTTCACGTCTGTCTTCAGTGTGGTCGTGGTATTCCACCGGGCGTGCCGGCCCATTCGTGCGAAGATGTTAAAGCGGGCTCTACCACTGTCATAAATAAAACGATTATTGAATGCTGGTACAAACTACAATACTCTTATACCCTCTCATTTAAACCGTTTTTTTTTTTAAAAACAAATTGCCTGAAGATTTATCCTAACTTATTTAAGATTTTTTTAGATATTAAAAAAGGAGAAAACCGCATATTATGGAATGCATTAATGCCTTCTAGTAGTAAAACAAAGTTTGTATAATGCTGACAAAAAAATAGCTAATTAAAAAATCAAGAACCTTTAGCGTGCTAATGAAATAGGGCGTTCCAAATGCCCACTGAAGCGGACATCCGAATGGCACGATGAAGCGTTTGCTATTGAAATATGTCGCCGACTGCTACATTTTGATGGATTTTTAATTAACATTGAGTCTTGGTATATATGAAACCAATATTACATTGTTTAACACTAGCTGTTGCTCGCGACTTCGCCCGCGTGAAAATATATAGCCTATGTCACTCATTGATAACGTTGCTTTCTATTTATGAAAAAAAAATTAAATCTCTTTATGATATTAGTATATAGATTATAAAAATTAAGTAACTACTTACCAAAGCCTATATTGCTTCTATGGCTACTAATCTTAGATGGATGGATGGATGGATGTTTGTTAGAGTTTGTAGCCTAAACGACTGAACAGATTTCGATGAAATTTAGCATAGATGTAGAGGATAGTCTGGAAGAACACATAGGCTACTCAGTTTTGTTTTTTTCAATCCCACGCGAACGGAGTCGCGGGTGAAAGCTAGTTTCCAATGAATCAGATCAAACAGGAAGTGGCAGTAAGTATTAGGGTTGTTACTCTATAACTAGTGTTTTAAGCTACCTTATTAAAACGGTACGGGTTTTGAAGCTCTAAGCTCTAAACTCTTAACTTCCAGTGTACGGAAGTTTCCAATACAATTTGACTTAGTTGTGATATTTCGTTAGTAAGTTAAATCCAAAATCCGTAATACTTTGTTTTATTCCGAGACCCTAATCTATTTATATCAGTTTCTGCGTTGTAAGGAACGTCATTAGCACAAACTGAAAACAGGACAGCACTGTACCAAAAGTTTTGGGTCCAATTATACTTTGTTTCTGTGCGGAATTCGTTTGAAACGGAATACGAATTCCAAATATCAGTTGCGATTATATTCAAATTATTATAAACTAGCTTTCACCCGCGACTCCGTTCGCATGAAATTAAAAAAAAACTAGCCTATGTGTTCTTCCAAACCATACTCTACGTCTATCCTAAATTACATCGAGATCCGTTCAGCCGTTTAGGCACAAACTCGAACAAACATCCATCCATCTAAACTTACGCATTTATAATATTAGTAAGATAATTATAAATAAGGAAACGGATTTAAATATGGAATGTTATCTTATTACTAGCTTTTGTCCGCGAATCCGACCGCGTGTTTAATAACAGTGTATGTGTTCTTCCAGATTATCCTCAACATCTGTACCAACATAGAAAACCGTTCAGCCGTTTAGGCTACAAACTCTAACAAACATCCATCCATCTAAACTTTCGTATTTATATTATTAGTAAGAAGTAAGATTAAGAATTATGAGTTTTCCGATAGCTTCATTAATTTTTTCGTTTCCAAAATAAAATTCCGCTATTTGACAATTAAAGTAACTGTTTTGTTAAGGTTAGTTAATTTAAAATGAGAAATCTTTTAAAAATAATCGTTACTAATGTTGTTAAAAGAATTCTGAACAGTCGTATATTCTTTGATGACAGAAAAGTGTTATATTGAAGAATGAAATTACGAAATGATTGAACGATTTCCCTCGCTGGTAACAAAGCTCATAACTTATCAATCATATAGGAAATATTGAAAAGAAATGTATTTTCTGATATGTGGGTTACAAAAAGTGTTTTGCCCTTATCTAAAAATCTATTTAAGGTTCTCTTAACGCAAAAAACAAGTTCAAGATTTATGGTTTTCTTACTTATCTCCTACACACTACAAATTTTTATGTATATAAATGTATAGATGTACTTTAAATAGTAAATTTTATAATATACTAGCTGTTCCCGTGCGGCTTCATCCGCACGAAATTATGAAAATTGTATTTTATTGTTTACATGTGTCAAATTATCAATTGCAAATGTCAAAATGACATGACATGATGACAAACCATGGCAACCTTGCTTCCTTGATGTTGGCAGCAACTTATAGTCTCTTTCCCAGATTAGGGTTTACATCCAAAATATTTACCCCCTAAGTTTAATGGCCTGAAATTATATAGCCAAAAGTGTAAGGCGTTTTATTAAAAAAAAGAATTATTCAAAAATATACTGTAATTGCTGACATCTTAGGCAACAAAGAAGTGTGTGTTTACGCTTTATTATACAAGTATAGAGTATATTTTCCTTCTCTAAGTACCTTAGTTCAGCGAAACCACTTCAAGTTATTTGATATCACTTCAACTTTCAGTAAACATTTTATCGTCGACTTCTCTCAGCTGTATTGAAAGGTAACTAATATATTTGCGAACTTTATTACTTACGTATTTGTTTAATGATTGCAATAAACTTTTGCAAATGAAATTCATATTAATACTAGCTTTCGCCCGCGACTTCGTCTGCGTGTATTTAAAAAAATGAAAGTAAGTAGCCTATGTGTGCTTTCAAACCATCATCTATGTCTTTGTCAAATTTTGTCGAGTTTCGTTCAGTCTAGGCTACAAACTCTAACAAACATCCATCCATACATCCATCAATCTAAGCTTTCGCATTTATTATATTAGTAAGATAATAAGATGTGAACTCACATTTCGATTTCGTAATAAATAATACTAATAATTATAAATGCGACAGTTTAGATGGATGTTTGTTCGAGTCTTTAGCCTAAACAACAGAATGGATCTCGATGAAATTTGGCACAGACGTAGATGATAGTCATAGGAAGAAGACATAGGCTACTTATTTTTGCTTTTTTTTTAATTCGACGCAGTCGTAGTCGCGGGCGAAAACTAGTAATAAAATATAAGGCTGAAACAAAGAGTAAAATAGACTTAAATTGTTGGGTCAAATATCTTAAAAATAAAGATCAAAAGCGAAAATAAATATCAAAAGCGAAAATAAATATCAAAAGCGCGAGTGTAATTTTACCTGAATCAAAACATTGTTTATAGCACAATAAAGTTGGTAATGATCGTTTGATGTAAAGGTCATAGGAAAGTTTTGGGTGAGAATATTTGTTTCAATTGTAAACGATTACGGACTTAATAATGGATTTAAATTGAAAACTTGATCGTATAAATCGTAAAATAGACGTTCTGATTATCCTGTTTCATATCAATATTGTTTATTTGTTTTTAAACAGCTTTATTGGACCCATTTAGACAATCATTCGCGTCACGTGTTTTAATTTTATTGTGGTGCTGTAACATTTAATTGGTTCAGTCAAATAATTATGTATCTTATGTAGCAAACTAGATTTAATTATAAACTCTGTGTTAAAAAATCAGACCCTCAACTGGCATTATTCTTTAAATGAAAAATCAATAAAATCGGTCTACAAGAAGCGAAGTTCTACAGTAAAAAAAAAACTGATGAATTGTCACCCTCTCCCTTGTATAGTCGAATAAAATGGATCGTATGGTATGGACTCAATAGCACCAGTTAGTGTTCATATTATGCCAATTTAATGCCAGTTCAGTTATGGAGCTCTACTGTCCTACTGTACTGGCTAAGTGTGAACCAGGCATTAGGCCATTTGTCTCAGAAAAGAATACAGCACCCAGTTTTACCCAAAGTCATTGGGTGTTCAGATTGTCAATAAAACAAAATATGAAATACAAAAGCATGTTAAATATGTAATTCTATCTATTTAAACAATCCTACGAGTATAACAAAATTGAAAGTTTTACAAAAAATAGTAGTTACAAACTTAAAATAGTTAAAATATTTTGCGTATATTGTGATATTTTTAGTCTGTGCTCCCAGAACTTTCAAAGTTTTTGTTTGACTTTTGACTACCAGTTTGACATATTAGTACGCACCGTATATTGCTTTGCATTGTTAATTTGCACAAAGAATTTGGCTTATAGAGCGATTTTATAATTCAAGAGTTATGTGAGAAACTATAAAAATATGGCATTCCTTTGTCCGGTTAGAATTCGAAGGGGTAAGAAGAAAAAATGTAAGTATTGAAAAGCTGTCATTTTAAAAACTTTTCGAGTCAACGACCTCAAACTTTCTATACATAAATATAAATATAGAAAACTAGTAAATTCATCTCGTTTTACAAGAACCTGTACGTCTGAATAACCGAGACCGTGGGAAAGTTTTTGAAACAATATTTGCGTTAATTGTTCAAATTTTATTTACGTACGTTTATTTATAATTTTGATTAAACAAAGCTCTTACAATAGCACTAAATAAAAATTATGATACATGCCTTGCACTCTCTGTTTAATCAAAATATAATTTGTCTACTTTTCAATAAATTTTCTAAAAAAAATTATGCCATACATGCTTTATTAATTATTCGACAGCAAACAGTGGTGATTCGGATAAAGAATTATCAAGACCTGGCTCCGGACTGAGTCCTGGTATGGGCAGGATTACTGGATCAGCAAGTATTGAAACATTAGTCCGAGTTGGTATAGAGAAGGAACATGGACTCAGCCCTGATTCCAAAATGGTGGTGCTTCATGACTTCGCGCCTTGTGTTGATGATGAATTAGAGGTTTGTAAACACAACTTAACAATTTACAGTGAAGGATAATATTGTACTTATGTATCCCTATGCACACACACTAAACCTCCTATCTAAATCAAATGGTTAGCTGTAAGGTAACTCTTACACAGTTAAGCTCATCTATTCTACAGTCTTTCAATTTGTATACATAATTTTTTTGTGTACAAACTTAAATAAATAATAGACAAACTGTGAAGCAACCTGCACACATTGGGGTAGAATCTGAAAGATGTAAAGAAATGAAAAATATTTATATTAAGAAAAATTACCACAGACTTAACCTAATTTACATTATTTTTACACACTAAACACAAACTAAAATAAACACAAAACAGTACGTAAATAAGTATGTCAGCAAGTCTGTAGGGTAGTTTGCTTATTAGCAAATTGTTCAGCTACCCTCCGTACTAATATAAAAACTGTATTACGGCGGCAGTGCGGCCATTTACTGTGAGTATCTGCTGAAAGTTACAGTAAAAGATATGTGTGAAGTCAACCTACAGTGCGGTATTGTTGACTATGGCCTAGTCAATTCTAACTTAGGGTAGACTTTAAGCCTCTCAATGTAGTGAGCTGATGATGAAACACAATTACTCCCATCACCCATAAGGGTGGGTAGATTTCCAACTGTAAATGTTCTAGTGCTTCTTGTCTCCACTTTACAATAATGTTAATGTAATTTTTCCATCTATCTAAACTTTAGGATGTTAAATATATGTAAAACTAGCTTTCGCCCGCGAATCCGTCTGCGTGGAATTAAAACAAAACAGAACTGAGTATCCTATATGTTCTTCTAGACTATCTTCTAGATTTACGCCAAATTTCATCAATATCCGTTCAGCTTTTTAGACTACAAACTCTAACAAACATCCATCTATCTAAACTTTCGCATTTATAACATTAGTATGAAGTATGAAATAAATTATATCTCACTGTTTCAGGTAAAGCGTGGCCAAATAGTAAATGTATTGTATCGAGAGAATGACTGGGTGTATGTGATAGTTGCGGAATCTCGACGCGAAGGGTTCATACCACATTCATATTGTGCTCCATGTGAACATCATGATTTGAAGAAGAAGTTGCCGAGAAGCAGATCACCAACTGATTTAGCACACAGAGATGTTTCACAGTAAGTCAATTGATTACATTAGTAACTATACCATTTTGCCCACACTTAACAGTGGTAGTGCCCGCTTTAACATCTTAGCACGAATAGGCCGGCACGCCCGGTGTAATACCACGACCACACAGAAGACAGGTGTGAAATGGTGAAATGGAAGCAATTCCGTGTTTTGTCTGATGAGTGTGGTGCCGGAGGCCTAATTTAAGTCCCTTTCCCTTTCCACCCTTTTCTTAAGAGGAAAGGATGGGAAGGAAAAGTGGATTTGACAGTGGAGGAGACGCATAGGAAGGGGAAATATCCTCTTTATGTGCGCTCCTCCTCCGTCAATTAAGGGTAGGCAACGCATCTGCAATTGTGGATGTTTATGGACAGTGGTCGCTTTCCATTTCGGTGGATTCAGGTGGCCGCTTGCTCGCTTGCCACCTTATATTATAAAAAAAAAAACAGAGGCCACTAAATTGAGTATTTACTTAATTCTGAGGGGATAGAGTTGCCAGCAAAAACTACTAGTGTATATTTTGTTTTCAGACTGTCTTTATCAGATGGTGCAACAAATGATGGTCATTCCGAGTTGGGAAGTGAAGGGGAAGCGTGTCCCTTCAGTAAAGACCCCTCCGGACGCTATGTGGTGTTGTACACATTCACAGCACGGGATGAGAACGATGTTGATGTTGAGAGAGGGGAATTTGTTACAGGTATATTTTATTATATGAAAAAATACCTAAGAAATTGTAAAAATCAGAATTAAATTTCACATTAATATAATAGCTGCTACAATTCGAAGATATCATGTGTTAATGAATATTCAATATGTTTGAAATATTTTGGTAGTTGCTTTATAGTAAATGTACAATCAGGGAATTTGACGGTGTCTCATCTTAATAGCTAGTTGTTTGGACATTATGTACACATTGAGACAGCGAATTGGTCGTTCACTAGTACACAGAACATTGTTTTTTTAACTAATTTCTAACAAATTGGTTATTTGTTAAGGCTGTTTATTTATTTATTTAATGCAAAAGTAAGGAATGAGGTAATATGTCTGTAATTCGAACACCGCGGAATTCCTCGACTGTACATTTGCATTGAGTTATTTTTCGACAGTTTTAAACAGAGAAGACCCAGACTGGTACTGGATTGTGAGGAGTGATGGTCAGGAAGGCTTCATACCTTCAGGTTTTGTGTATCCAGCTGTTAGTCAAGGTAAATACTTTTGTATATAAAAACTATTTTAATAATTATAATATTATAAAGAGGAATTTGTATGTTTGTATAAATTGAAATTTGAAAAATTGAGGCCTAATTTAAGTCCCTCTCTCTTTACCACCCTTTTCTTATAAGGAGAGGTTGCGAAGAGGAAGTGGATTTGACGGTATGAAGATGCATAGGAAGGCGAAATAACCTCTTTATGTGCGTCTCCTCCTCCGTCATATAAGGGTAGGTAACGCATCTGCAATCGCGGATGTCTGTGGGCAGCGGTCTCTACGCCATTTTGGCGGTTTCAGGTGGCCGCTTGCTCATTTGCCACCTTATGTTAAAAAAAAATTGAAATAACTCAAAAACAACTAGACCGATTTGGCTAGGGTTTATATTTAATTTCACACGGACAAAGTTGCAAGCAACAGCTAGTTGACAATACTATAATAGTTACTATTAAATTCACAATAATTAATTTTATCCTATCTTACTAATATTATAAATGCGAAAGTTTAGATGGATGGATGGATGTTGCCTAAACAGCTGAACAGATCTCGATAAAATTTGGCATAGACTTAGAAGATAATCTGAAGAACACACAGGCTTCTAACTTTTTTTTAATTCCACGGAAGTAGTCGCGGGCGAAAGCTAGCAATAGTAACTATTAAATTCACAATAATCACTACAATTTTTTTTAATGTTTTCAGCAACACAACAAGAGAATGCTCAGCCAGTGCACTCGCCGACGACAAACGCGAACAACACGTTGTTGTCGAACACAACCCTCAACAACACGACGCAGGATGCTGACGGACGCTACCACGGAACTGAACTAGTCATGTTGTACGACTACAAGGTAAGTGAATTATACAGATGATTCCTAACGGACGGACCAACGGTTTGGTCCACAAAACCGTTGAGCGTCCGTTAAGAATCACCCTGTGTACAAAAGTTTATTGTATTATCATATTTCATTTTTAAAACTTGGTATAGAAATCAAGGTAGAAGATGGCCAATTTTGTTATTTTGTGGGCAATTTTATGTTATAACTAGCTGTTCGCGTGCTTTCTATTAAAAAATAAAAATATTTATAATAACGTGCTGTTTCCGTGCGGCTTCTAATGTCAACATTCAATTTAGTCTTGGGTAGTACACGTACGATGTACAAAAAAGTAATGTTACTCGGCACTGTACTAAAAGTAACGTTACCGAACGGCTTCTGTTAATCGGACATTTAGTACTTTTAGTACACTACACGATATCGGTGTTCGCCTCTTCGTTGTTTGACTTGATTGTATATATGCCAGATTGAAGCATCCACCTTTGATGAAGAGAATCAAAAGTGGATAAAATTGACTAACTAATTAATAACTAAATTTATTTTCGCTAATAACATATGTTTGACCCTGCTTAAAATTTGATGTGAAGTAATATATAACCCTCGTTATTTCACACGATTTCACAAATCTGAAGTACTAAAGGTACTAAAAGTGTGTAGTAGTACGTTTTCCCAATTGTACTAGTACGGTGCGCACTTGCAGATGTCCGATTAAGCCCAAGACTAATTCAATTGCACAAATGACAATGGATAACAATAACGGTTACCATGGCAATCTTGCTTCCTTGATCTCAGTTTTGTCCCTTTCCCGTATTTAGGTTTTTTCCAAAACTTTTACTCCCTAAGTTTAATAGTGTGAAAATAAAGCCTAAAACATGTTGTAATTGGTAGCGGTATTTATTGAAAAAAAAGCATCATTCAAATATGTACTATGATTGTTGACATCCGACTTTTAAACTATAAATATAATAGGCAATATGCATATGGCGCCAAATTGCACCAATCTTTTTTTAAGTATACTTTATTACTATGAAAATATTCCTGCAAAAACTTTTTTTAATATAATGTGATTTAGTGGCAAAATTTAATCATTAAAAAGTGTCTTTTTTCAATTTCCCTCGCTAAGTTCTAAAACGCACACTATTGGTCGAAGCAAGTGGCTTATCTAATATGGCGTCGCTGTGTTGTCAATAAACAGTTCGTTTACGTTAGTTTATATAGAAATACACTCTTGAAGTATTTTACACGATATCAAAACCAATTTTAAAATAAAAAAAATAATGAATAGATTTAATAATTACCACTTATTAGTACCAGGAATAATAAAAATGAATCGATTTTTGACTTTTTGACCTTGAGAAGCTTTGTTGTTTTTCAAGTCGAAGTGACTGACATCTGAGCGTATGTTATGAATTGAACAAGACGGTTGACGTCAATTGTCTATTGACAACTCAGGTGGCGTTTTAGTCGTTCGAAAATGGTCGTAATTTTATTTTAAGCTCAATGGTTGAATATTTTCGCGTCAATTTTTTTCTGGATATTATATAACAAGTAGAATCGTTTAGAAAAGGAAAAAAAATACATGCATGTTCCCTATTGTACACATATGTGTAACACTACGTAACAAAGAAGTGTGTGTTTATTACATTAGTATAGAACGTAAGTTTATTGTAGGCGCAGGCGCCAGACGACCTGTCGGTGAAGCGAGGTGAGTGGGTATACGCGGATCTGACGCAGCAGACGGTGGAGGGCTGGCTGTGGGCGCACGCGCCTAAGTCGCGGCGCTCCGGCTTCATTCCCACCGCGTATGCGCGCGCACCGCACACCACTTCGCTCTGAATTACACAAATTTTACTTAAAACTAAACATCCCTCATCCCTTATAGGTTTCTCGTTCTGACCAATGCCCATTTACAAGTTTCTTCACGGACACTTGCTTCAATATTATTGTATACTAGCTGTTGTTTGGGATTTTGCCCGTGTAAAATGAAAATAACAGTAAAAAGTGTAGCCCTTGTTCTCAGTGATAACATAGCTTTTTAATAGTGCACGAATTTTTGAAATCGGTCCAGTAGTTTTTGAATTATTTCGATATATACAAAAATACAAACGGGTAAGAAATTTGCAGCATGTAAGTGAGTCTTAAGAGCCCCTTGTGACTGCGCCAATTGTTTTTTTTTATATTTAAGTATATGAAAAATCTGTACTCACTGTACACTCATCAACTATCGAACTCGGAACCGTTAATTGGGACACTAAGGGAGTCATTTAGTGACTAATGAATTGCCACACTTGAGGGTTTCTGATATACATTTGAAAAAATCCAATACTTGCCAATGTTCTGTTGTAATAACAGTATTATAAGAGAAAGAGCGCGCGCACATTTGACTAAACTATCGTACAACTGTTTAGTCGCGCTTTGATTCTTATGGGCAGTATATGGAGGCACTACTCGATTTCTAGTTGTGGAACTAAACAGTTGAGATGCGAAACAATCGACAATCGCACAACAGTTATACGATAGTTTAGTCTAAAGTGTGCGCCTGTTCTAAACGTGAAGATTAAGGGCCTGTCCCACTAAATTGTAAAATGTCTGATAACAATCCAACGTGTAAAATATGTGATGGAAATATCGGATTTTGTTCCCTATTCTGACAGTGACGTCATTTTTAAGCTATCTGAACCTCTATCAGCCAGTGGTGGGACAGGCCCTAAAACTTCATTAAATATTGTGTGATAACTTAAATCATTCCGTTAGTTTGTAAGTTTGTGAGAATGTTTTTAGGTTATATTTTATCAGAATTTTTGCTACAATTTATGTATGACAATGCTTTATGTTGTAAAAATTACGTTTTAATTGTAAGTTTAATTGCTCATATTTCTAAAGTCTTTCCCTAGCTCTAAGAGTGTAACTCAAGAATTTTCCGTCAAAATCAAACATTTTCAAATTATATCCGTCCAAATTCCGACTGATATTGATGCTGTATTAATTTGACTTATTGTTAAATGTGTAGTTTTTTAATAAATACTAGAAGAAATATTTTTTTATTTATCAACATTTCTTCCCTTCCCTATATATCACCTCTTTCTTAACATCCCCTTCCCATGTTATACAGGATTAGTAATTCGACGTATTCCCGCCAGGTGGGTAATAGAGGGGACCATTTCTGATAATTTTGACCCCCACATGCATTATACTACACTTTACCATTTTTTAGTAATTTTGATTTTTAGATTTTTCAAAATACGTCAAAAATGCAACTATATGCTCTATATATATACTCTATAATTAAAAAAAAATCAATAATAAGTTCATTTTTCAGATTTATAAAAACCATTAAATAACGAATTTGTTTCCATTATTCCATTAAAACATCATTGTTTGTCCAAATTGAAAAATCACCATCACGTCACCACCAGCTCACTATATGTCCCCACCGAGGGGCTCGGAGCCTACCCTAAATTAGGGTGTTTAGGCCATAGTCAACCACGCTGGCCCACTGCGGGTTGGTCGACTTCTCACATATCTTTGAATTTCTTCGCCGATATGTGCAGGTTGCATCACGATTCGAACCCAAGACCTGTAGATTACAAGTCAAGTGCTTAAACCACTGAGCCACCGACGCTCTCATTGAAAAATGCCAGTTGAAAATTAATTTTACTTCAACAATTTTTGAGATTCTATTTTGAAAAGATCTAAAAATCATGATTACTCAAAAATGGTTAACTGTTGCATAATGAATATATGATCGCTTCCTAACTAGAATAGATCAAATTACCAATTACTCCGTATACACTCAGTTCCGTAAGTTTTAACTGAACAAACTGCAGTTCAAATAGTGTTTGGACAAAACTAAATGTTCAATTAAAATTTTCACTTGTAACATATTAACTAAAGTTAATTTTTTTTAGAAAAAATCGATTTTTGTAAATTCACTAATATATTTCCTTTAACCATTTCAACTAAGCTGTAGGCTTGTGCTAGGATATGGTTCACGACAATAGTCGAATGGCGGGATTCGAACCCTCAACCGCAAGATCGGTAGTCCGTACCCCAAAAAATTAAGCATTCGGTTTTTGGTGTTTTAATGGAAAAGGGTACTTTTAGATACCCATTTAGCAATAAAAATACGAATTTATAAACACATTTTATTAACTACACCTACATAAATATACATTATTCAGTTTCCAATAGAATATTCCTCTTCTTTTTCTTAGCCTTTTGTTTGATTTCATCTTTTATTGTCCACTCTTTCAGCTGTTCCTCGACTTTCTTTATATCCTGTTCCGCAACAGTGATTGGTAGTTGTAAATCAATTTGTTCACTTCGTATGAATTTTAAATCTTCCAATTTTCTAGTTAGAAAAGGTCCTTGTTGACTCTCCAGTAATGTTCTGTAGTCATCGAGTTTCTTGTTCTTAATATCATCACAATGCATCTCCGTTAGTTTTCTTAATGATTCCTTTCTCGATAACTTGTTGTAGGTACTATAAAAATATAAGTATTAAAAGCACATTTACAATTGATTGAAAAATATCGAAGACAGAACAATATAGTAAGGAATAGGCTAAAAAACGAACAAATGTATGACAAAAACACAGGTTCAGTAGTCTTATATAGGCCATTGTTTAGATATACATGTAGTGAATTTTATATGGAAATTAGTATGGTATGGGCATGTTATGAGGAGGAATGAATCACATGTAACAAGGAGAAAGTTATGAGTGTGGAGGTACATCGGTAGAGATAGCCCTAGAAAGAGATGGATGGATTGATGACCAAGATGGCATAAGATATATTTATTTTTAGGATATTGAAATATAAAAATCTAGCAAAAACTCTTTGGTCTATCATTCTTATTTTACTGCTGACTTATAATGAGGTCTCTTATAAGTGATGTTACTCCAATCAGAAATGTTGCAAATATATTAATAAGACTTACTCAGGATGTGCTTTGTATTCAATATTAAGTTTTTCTAACAACCATTCAAACTTCTTATAATCATATTGCCGGAGGAACTTCAATAGTTTTTTTCTCTTATCAATTAGTTCTTGAGCAAATTTCTGTAAAAAAGTAACATTTTTTGAGAACTAGAACTAAATATCTAAAAAGTGAAAATCTGGATAGATGTTTGTTACTGTGCATGTTACTATAGCTTATTGGATTTCAATTACATTTGACACAATTATAAAACATACTCTGAAAGAAAACATAGGCTATTTTTTTTAATATTGCATGGATATCATAAGCAAAAACTAGTGGCTGTGCTTTTTTTTTTATAATATACGGGGGCAAACGAGCAAGTGGCCACCTGAATCCACCGAAATGGAAAGCAACCACTGCCCAATAAACATCCACAATTGCAGATGTGTTGCCTACCCTTCATTGACGGTGGAGGAGACGCATAGGAAGGGGAAATGTCCTCTTTATGTGCGTCTCCTCCACCGTCAAATCCACTTTTCCTTCCCATCCTTTCCTCTTAAGAAAAGGGTGGAAAGGGAAAGGGACTAAAATTAGGCCTCCTGCACCACACTCATCAGACAAAACGCGGAATTGCTTCCACTTCACGCCTGTTTTCTGTGTGATCGTGGTATTACACCGGGCGAGCCGACCCATTCGTGTGAAGAAATTAAAGCGGGCTCTACCACTGCTTTACCATTCTACACTTAAAATTATATTATGATGGTATGATATACCATAGCCTCAAGATCATACTATGGTATGAGCTTGTATTGGATAACCTCTATACTTACTTTTGCACTAACATTTTTGGGATCTTTCTCCATTGTGTCCTGTAAACATCTTATATGTCCAGTAAGTCTGGCAACTGTAATGAAAAGTTTTTTATTTATTAATTATAATTTCATTTTAAGGAATGGGTGAGGGGTACACATGTAGAGGTCTAGAAAGAGATGGATGGATTGGGTGTAAGGCGACATGATCAAGAAGGGAGTGATGACTGAGATGATGGATGATAGAGTGCTTTGGAGGATGATAACCCTTTGTGCCGACTCTATAGGAGTAGCATAAGGTAGGGGAGATGATAAGGGAGATTTGACTGATGTAGGAATGCATAGAAGAAGCATCTTCTTTTTCTGCATTGATCAATGATCAAAGCATCACTTTAGCTTTTGCTGATGTTGTGCAGTTCCGATTCTCTAGGCTATTCGGGTGGCCATTTGCTCATTTGCCATCAATAAAGCCATGAGTTATATGTTTAATAAGACTGTCAACTATCTTTACAACTGAAATAAAAGTATGTTTGAATTTATACACATGGAGGTTATGAAATATACAAACTCCTTGTCTCCGTGGTATGCTCATCATATTGATGTCTTCTCACTTTGTTCATGTAATGTGTCTTCACCAATGTATTGTATTCCTTCTTTCCAAGATGACCAACTGAGAATATCTTTTTAACAGCTTCTGGTGCACTGAAATATAAATCATTTTTTGTGAGAATAATTAAATAAACACTGTTAGAAAATTTTGTAGGAGATTGTCTTTTTTCTTTGTACAAGATCACCACAACTCTCATAAAACCCGGAGATAGGCAAGACAATAAACATTCATTTAGAGCATTCCTGACACTTCTAACGCTTCTACATGCACACTACACATACATTAACTCCGAGTACGGTAGCGTTATTATTTTCGATTGGCACCATGGTACCTCGACGATTGAGGTTATGTTTTGTTTACACAAAATGTCTGTTATAAATAACTAATTACTCTTTAACTTCTTCGCTTAAAGCGTAATCTTGTCCTAACGCTGTTTCCGGAATAGGCGGGACGGCTTCCAAATCACCAGATCTCTCAGCTTTGTAAGCTGGTATGTATTCCGGTCGTACCCATTTTATGTCAACGGTGTGTTTAATAGTGCGAGATTGGATTAACAATGGATATAATCGCCTAAGCATTTTAAAACTAATTTTAATTTAATTTAAAAGAAAATCGCCTAGAAATTATTCGTTTCACCAATATTGGTTTTGACTTTTTGACATGAATTAATCAATGTCAATTTGACATTACAATACCAAAGAGCATGTATTTAATGTTTGGTGTAGTGATCTCTCTAAATAGATAGGCTACAAGTAGTATTTTGTGCATATTTGATTTTCGTCATATTGTCGCTATTGGTAATTAGAACTAAAAATAAAAATGGAATAAATTCTTATTAATATCAACAGGCATGTTTCTGTTGGAACGAAGCATGAACTGTCATTTCCAAGCAATGATCTTCATTTAGAGCTCAATCGTTAAGTGCTATTTGGACTAAATAACTTTTTGGACCAGTCTCAATGGTATATCAAAACATTAATAGAATACAATAGATATGACAATAATAGTGGCAACTGTGAAAGCATACTTTCAATATTAATGCACTGACCTAAACAGTTTAACATCTGCATAGCAAAAAAACGTTTTCATGGTGGTTAGTAAGACTTCAGAAGATCTCATTTCAGCATAGATTGTAACATAACAGAATAAGTATTCGTATTTAAAAAACAAAAAGGAAGATAGGCAAAATTAAACCATTTTATCATAACCACTCATTTATTGCTTCAGAGTACGAACGCTCTAGTATATAAAACCCTTAATTTAGCTGTTTTGTACTAAATGTACCACTCCATGTAACTACGTAAAACCTTACTTGTATATAAATCATATCTTTATAAATACATTGAAAATATCAATTATTATTCTAAAGAAAAAACATTAATTCATAATGAAACAATTAAATAAACATTCCTGAGGTTTATCAATAGATAAAAACCTGTGACTACGAAAAAAAGTTAAAAATTTACCTTGACATTATTCTGGAGAGACTTAGAAAACTGCTAAGCTTAATGATATAGAAGAAGAAATATTTTAAAGTGTTTATTAAATATATGGTCAATCTGGCCATAAGGAAAAAAAAATCATAATGACGTTCAAGAGAATAATGAAAGTATTAAACTTTCAGTCTAAAAGTATTAATATTACTACACAGAATACTACGTTTAAAATAGAGTTTAAATAGTTCCTATAGTCGCTAGCTAACAAACACTAAAAAACGTGGAATGTCAAAACAGCCAGTTTGCTATTACAAAAAATATCAAATGGTATTTCAATACATGCAAACAACTGTTTTTAAATGTGCGTGTAGACATTTACAATGGCGAAGGAATGCAAATTAAATTTATACGTATTAAAATATAAAAAAAAACACACAATACTGGATTTTACAAAACGTTATCGAAAAAAAAAATACGGGTTGCACAATGAGAATGTCTTTTTTACGCTTTTATCATAGACAAATAACCTACAGATGGTGTGTTTGATACAAGTTTGACATTTTAAGGGTCGATTTTCGAAATGTCATTTTGGATTACAAATGGGAATTTCTTCGAATAAAATGCGTCTTTTTTGCCTATTTATGCACTGGATCAGGTATCTATAGGTTATAAATCTATCGCTCTTAATAATATAATTGAAGCCTAATAAATACTATGAAAAATACATACTTTGTTTAAAGTTTGCTATACCTATTTTTATTTAATAAAATTACTCCTCATGCACATAAAATTGGTTTAAAAAGTGAAAATACATATAGAGTTTATACTATTAAGCTTTTTTTTTTACATTCAGCTATTGAGAAGAAACTTTTTTAGTATTACAGATTTTTTTCAAGATGCACAAGGTATATGAGATTGGTGAAATTAGGATTATAAAATAAATACATAATACCTTTATGCCTACGGACTAGATAAGTTTTACACTTAAATAAACCGCGGTTTAAAAATTAGGAACAGCACCAAAATATTATTTTTTGGAAAAATCACACAGAATTAATAAAAACTGGTAAAAACTTAACCGATTTTTATTATCTACTTTTCTTTTTTTTCTATAACGGTAACAAGTTTTATGTCGACTTTTTGGCACGCCGTCGCAAATCTAGTAATTTGAAAAATTATTGACATGAATGTAATTTAGTAGTAAAATCTGTCCACATTAACATTTAACTCTTTGAAATATTCATAATCTATGATCAATATGGATGTCTGTTGTCGGTCTTGAAAAAAAGAAACAAAAAAGTTACTTTAAAATTAGAAACATAAAACGGTAAAGGTAAAATTCTTGTTTATGTTATAAATACAATGGTCTAGTTCTTGTAATTGGACAGATTTGTTTTCTAGCAATAAACTTTATATTGATTTTCTATACCAAAAATTCCACGAAAAAAAAAATGAAGCGTTTATACGACACTCGGCCACAGGCAAGATAACACTGGTCGCGCTATAGCTGATATAAGATTTAAACACATACAGCATCAACCATTATAAAATGAGCCACAATGCTTTATAATCCCTGTGAATTTCTCCTATACTTCAATTAAAATGATTTCAAATAAGAATGTGCAGAAAATACGCCATATTGTGACGTGATATCTCATAAAAAAACTAGGGTCAGTTAAATTATGTTTATTATTATAACAGATCGAGGTCATTAAAATGCACATTCTTATTTGAAAAATGCTATACTTTACACAATTTACTTCACGTGCACAATAACATTATATCCTGTGACGTCATAGTCAAAGTACAAATATACTAAAGAGATCTTCGAACACTCGCGGTAGAACCAAACACGCGTAAAAAACAAACGTCGCTGGAGTTTTGTTATTGTGACCGCATAGTAATTTCTTAGGATTTACACACATCACTTATGTACAAATATTTCATAAGACATTTTTACTATTTAATTACATTAATTGCAATTTTAGAATATTACGCGTTGAGTATATAATTATTAAATTATATTTCGTCAACATACGTGACAAAAGAACATTCTAGAAAACTCTTTTATAGAACACAATTTCTTCAATGTGGTTATTATTATGTTAATAACAATCTGATACGATGTAATCTTTAAAAATTTTCCCATTGGGTCGTCCGATCGGTGAACTAATCGGCCCAATGGCAAACACATAATTTTTCATAATAATACTATATAACTGTCTTATTTTTCTGCGTCTACCATGAAATAGGTAAGCAAAGCACATTTTTCTATATTCCATCACTATTTAAAAATAAAACATCGCAACAGGTTTATAATGCAGTGACACACATTGTCTATGGTTTAACGTATTAAGTTAACTGTCTATGGTTCGTCAAAGAGCATGTGAGTTATGACAATGTGTCAACGCATGTGTCAATACAAGTGTCACTGCTGTCAAAACCCATAGTTAATAACATCAGTACACTCAGTGCAGTAAAATGTGAACATTAAACAATAGATATAATAAAATTAGTGTCTGTACGTAATATTGATAAAAAAAAACAATTTTGTGATGTCATCTGTTTGTAACGATTGGATAGATTTTGACGGGACTGCCGGAAGGACACACAGAAATATTATAGGCTAGTTTTTAAATTCTGATAAAGTCGCGGACGACTGCTAGTTGATAAGTCTGAACGAAATAACAGACATTTTTGTTATACGTCAATCTATGGGGTTCTGGAACTAATGTACAAAAAATATTCTCTGCCTGTAAAAACTTATAAGGAGAGGTTTTTTTAAAGCACATATTGCTTAGATATTCACAATTGTCTTTATAACTAGATAATGGTACATTTTATTGCAGTAGTGTACTGAGTCATGTTAATTCTTGTACACTTTGGTGTTGAACGTATGACGTAATATGACTGTGCTACCTACGTTGTCGCGTACTTTCTGGACGCCGCCGTGCTGAAAAAAAGTTACCTTATAATCAAAGACATTTAAGAAAGACTAGACATATCAAACAAAAAAAAATCACCGGTAACTTCTTCAAAAGGTACTATGTTAGTTGTCAAGTTTAGTGCCAAATCTTGTCCTTATTGACATGTTATAAAACATTTTTTATAAAAAAAAAATAAACATACAGACGAATTTAGAACCTCCTCCTTTTTGAAGTTGGTTAATAAGCTAAATAATGTCCCCAAAATGAAACACAAACTTTTTTTTAAATGACACCTATTGGCAATTAATTTTATTAGTGGTTTAGGGTTACCTATTAGTGAGATTATGTGAAAAATGTCTTAAGTAAAGTCAACTATGCCCCCTCTATATGCGTTTTAAATCTCTTTGCTTATAATCTAAAGCCGAGAATACAACACACATGTAGCTGACACATTTACATGTCAGTTATTGGCACGTGTTAACGATAACTTGCATGGCAGAGCCAAGCAGCTAACACAATATTTGATTTTGCCACCGCTGAGTGTAAGATGAGATGGAGGACACAAGATATTTTACTGGCATGTGTGATTACAACTTACTATTAGCTGGCGTGTATTTTCGCCTTAATTTACTAGTGAAAAAAACATAAGACAGGGGTTTTCAACCTTTACTTGCAAAAGTAAACTAAAGTGCATAAATATTGGTTCTAAATTCGAATCTACACTTCAGTTTACTAACGGACAGGGGTCTTCAACCTTTATTTTCACAAAACATTTTTGGTCGAAAAAAATGGTCCCTATTCACATATTTCGGAGTTGACAACATTTGGATCAAATTATAAAATACCATATTTATATTAAAATCATGCCAATCACTGTAAATATCGACATCAAGTAAATTTCGTGGCATATGGATGAAAAAAACTACATTTTTTATTTTTTTTTTTCCACTTACCGAATCTCGCTGTCACATCGGCCGGCGTCATCGTTCCCTAATCACGTTTCTTCCCCTTCCTCTTACCAATACGCTTGCTGTAATTCTGTGCAAGAGCATTTACTATCGACACCACAAAATAGAGCACCATAGTTAGTACTAATTTCTCCAGTAAACTAGATACCAAAGACCCTTGGTTCTCTGGCAACGGGGCTGAGGGGTCTCGTTTATGTAACTTTGATTTCTGATTACGCAAAAATTCCAGTAATGGCGCTTCCAGTTTAGGTCCTATGTATGGTATTTTTGACACCCATCCTAAGACTTGGCTAAAAAGTAACATTTTTCATTAGTTTTCATTCAGATTGGTTTACATGATTTAAAAAAAAATATTTTGAAATTTTTATAAAGCTAAGTTGTATTCAGGTTTCAAAATGAGCATTAAAATGCGCCATTTTGTGACGTCATAACTTAAGTCTAAAAATACTCATTTCTTTGTAAATTTTGACAAAATCGAAGAATATTATTATTTAAAAAAGTACTATAAAATCGTATCAACTTCAACTATTACTTAACAAACTTAAAAATGCTTAAAACTAAGCAGACTAATATTATAAATGCGAAAGTTTAGATGTATGGATGTTTATTAGAATTTGTAGCCTAAACTGAACGGATCTGGATGAAATTTGGCGTAGACGTAGAGGACAGTCTGGAAGAACATAGGCACACTTTTGGTTTTTTATTTCCAAGCAGAGACGCAAGCAAAAGCTAGTCATAATACATAAAAAATATAGTTAACTTTGAAGTCTTAATACTTACCCAACTAAAGCTTCATTAAAAGCGATTATAACAAACATTTTCTGTATATGCATTTTGATGACCGCTTTACCGAGCACAGTCGCACCAAAGAACGTCCAGAAAGGTACAAGGAAGTGTCCGCAAGTGAGGCCAGCGAGGTCGAACAGCGGATTCGGTATAGACGCGCACGCCAGTATTCCAGCGAAGCCAACACGCTGTACTAACTTCTGAACCATCACCTTAGCTCTGAAATATCAAGAAAACATCGTTTAATAAAATTAATTAATATTATTTAGAATCTAAAGTACTTTTGGTATTTCTTAGTAACAGCTGAATTATTGTTCTAGAACGAAAGTCGTTAAAACTGACCTAAAAAGACGAATTCGGGCTTTATTAGGTCTTTTGGAATAGGAGGGTAAAGAATCCCCCTTATTAGGACTCTCGGAAGAAAAGAGTAAAGTATCCCCCTTATTATGTCTTCTGGAAGAAGTGTGTAAATAATCCCTTCTATATACCTTCTGGAAAAGAATGAGTGTAAAGAATCTATCTTTATTAGGCCTTCTGGCAGGAGAATGTAAAGAATTCCTCTTTATTTGGCCTTCTAGCAGAAGAATGTAAAGAATTCCTCTTTGTTAGGCATTCAGGAAGAAGAGTGACAAGTTTCTCCCCTTATCAGGCCTATTAGAATAGAAGTAATGAATTCCTTCCCCCCACATTAGGTAATTTAATATTGGAAAGTGGATTATCAGGCGATGGCACGTATATGTAGGGTTTATCGTTTTTCTTTGTTGACTAAAGACCTAACTATCGGCATTTCACTTCGCTATTTTGGCGAATTCTCACCTCCCACTCCTTGTATTATCATCAGCGACCTCCGTGACTTCAGCCAGGCTGCCCCCAGAGAGCCTGGCGGCGCGCGCCATGAAGTAGGGGGGCAGCTCCCCCAGGGCTGTGCCTACCCCCCACAGCATACTCTCTATGCGTACTTTCGACATTATACTCCATACAGTCACCGCACCTGGTATGCCCTCCGTTGGACATATTATACTGAAAGATAATAATTTATACGATAATGGATGGATGGATGTTTGTTACCGTTTGTAGCCTAAAAGGCTGAACGGATCTCCATGAAATTTGGCACAGGTTTCGAACATAGTCTGGAAGAACACATAGGGTACTTTTTATCCCGGAAGTAGTTACGGATCCCGTGGGATTCATTAATTTAGTTTTTTAATGTTTCCTCGGTCATTCTGCAACGGTTCAACATATCTTATTGAAATTCGACACAGATATAAAACAAAGTCTGGAGTACACATGTGATAAGATTCATCTCCGAGAAAGTCAGGTTCCTGAGGGATACGTAGCTTTTTGTTATTTATATAGTTCCTATGTTTTTTAATACCAAGCGGACGAAGTCGCGGGCAACAGCTAGTATAATATAAATGTTAGTTTATCGATATCTGTTGATGGGAAATATAAATACCGCGTTAGGACATATACAATGATGTTTACTTTTTGTTTGTTTTGTCTGTGGCTATGTGCGTGCTAATCCTAAATCCGTAAAAGATTCCGTTTAAACGCTTGTAAATAATCTTTGAAATCGTTTAATATTATAAATGCGAAAGTTTGTATAAATGTACTACTTAACGGGTCTCGAATAATTTTACACATATGCTACTTATGATTTCTTTTCTAAATAGCATATTACATTTTAACCAAATAATAGATCATTAGATTAGCACTAAATTGTTTGAACACTTGACTTGTAATCTACAGGTCTTGGGTTCGAATCCCGCCGTACCAATGTGATTTTCGATTTTTCGAATTTTCATATGTACATAATTTACCCGAAGTTCTTACGGTGAAGGAAAACATCGTGATGCAACCTGCACATATCGGCAAGGAAATTCAAAGATATACCAACCCGCAGTGCAGCGTGGTTGACTATGGCCTAGTCACCCCTTATTAGGGTAGGCTCCGAGCCCCTCAGTGGGGACGTATAGTGATGATGATACTTTTAACATTTCAGAACATCACTAATTTAAATATTTTTATCGATATTAATTACATTGATTAGTTTTGACTCTTAACAGATATTATGATAGTTATAATCTATCGCAAAACGATGACAATGTCCACTTTTTTTTTTTTTTATAACATAAGGTGGCAAACGAGCAAGCGGCCACCTGAATCCGCCAAAATGGCGTAGCGACCGCTGCCCATAGACATCCGCAATTGCAGATGCGTTGCCTACCGTTACTAGACAGAGGAGGCAAAGCACATAAAGATGATATTTCCGCTTCCTATGCATCTCCTCCTCCGTCAAATCCACTTCCCCTTCCCATCCTCTCCTTATAAGAAAAAAATGGTAAAGAGAAAGGGATTTAAATTAGGCCTCCGGCACCACACTCATCAGACGAAACACGGAATTGATTCCATTTCACGCCTGTCTTCTGTGTGGTCGTGGTATTACTGGGGGCGTGCCGGCCCATTCGTGCTAAGATGTTAAAGCGGGCACTACCACTGTTAAAACTTTATACCATTACCACTTTATACAACACTAGCTGTTCCCATGCGGCTTCATCCGCATGAAATTATAATATTATAATTGCAAATGTCAAAATGACCGTTACCATAATAACCTTGCTTCCTTAATGTTGGCAGCTTGTAGTTTACGGTTTCACACAAAGGTTTTTTTTCCTATTTATTTACCCTCTCAGTTTAATAGCAATATCATCCGCATAAAATTGCAAATGTCAAAATGACATGACATGTCAAACCATGGCAACCTTGATTCCTTAATGTTGGCAGCAACTTGTGGTCTCTTTCCCACATTAGGGTTTTTATCCAAAATATTTACCGTCTAAGTTTAATGGCATGAAAATATATAGCCTAAAGCGTGAAGCAAGTGTAGGGCTTTTTATTAAAGAAATAATTATTCAAAAATATGCTGTAATTGCTGACATCTTAGGAAACAAAGAAGTGTGTGTTTACGCTTTATTATATTAGTATAGATTTGAAACTGCTATAAAATAAATCATTTAACAATATATAAGTCTGATAAAGCTTGTACTCACTCATTAGGATAAGGTGGTTCAGGGAAGTCTAGTGAGCCGCATTCGTACGCGGCGAGGGTGACGCGGGCGATATGCGGCCCCAAGTACAACAGGAATGTGTGCAGCCCCGTGCCCAACCCCACCGAGCTACACACCCCTAGTACCACCCACCAACCCCACCAGGCTAACTTCATCACCACTAACTGTAACAAAAAATACCATATACCAAAATTCCAAAAATACGGGATGCAAAATGGAAAAAGATAAAATATAAAAAAGTATAAAATAAAAAGGAACTTATTATTGTAGAACAAAGATTACGCAACAAAAAAGACACAAAAAGATATAAACTGTGCAAAAAAGAGTAAATTTCGCATTTATAATATAAGTAAGATAATAAATAAGTTGTGCGATTGTTTAGTCAAAGGAGATTTAAAAAAAATCCATAGATTTGTGTGTATGCCACTTACTAATATTATAAATGCAAAAGTTTTGATGTATGTTACTTCATATCTCGAAAACTATAAAAAGAATCTCAGTGAAATTTGGCACAGATACAAAACATAATCTGGAAGAATACATGGGCTACTTACTTTTTTTTTTAATTCCGCACAGACGTATACATAAATCTTACTAATCTTACTATCTTACTAATCCTATTAATATTAAATGCGAAAGTTTAGATGGATGGATGTTTGTTAGCGTTTGTAGCCTAAACGGCTGAACGGATCTCCATGAAATTTGGCACAGGTTTAGAGCATAGTCTGGAAGAACACGTAGGCTTATTATCCCGGGATAAGTTACGGTTCCCGTGGGATTCATTAATTTAGTTTTTTAATGTTTACTCGATCATTCTGCAACGGTTCAACATATCATATTGAAATTTGGCACAGATATAAAACAAAGTTTGGAGTACACATGAGATAAGCTTCATTCCAGAGAAATGTCCGGTTCCCGAGGGATACGTAGCTTTTTGTAATTTATATAGTTCGTATATATTCTAATACCACGCGGACGAAGTTGCGGGCAACAGCTCGTTAGTAAATAATTCGTGCATGCAGCTCAGTAACGTCATGTTCAATAACTTAGTAATGCCAGTTTACAACAAAACTTACCTGGACATAAGGTTGGTGAGGTCCGCCTACATAGTATGACGTCACAGTAGCAGCTATCGATAGTATAATTACTAAAGCTAGTAATTTGTACGCCAGCAACCTAAAAACAAAAAAAAACTTACCATCACAATGGAAAAGATTGTTTAAAATTAAGTAGCCTAGCAAAATTACAAACAGGCGAGATTCGCAATGGAACGGTGACACATCTTTTTGACCGACTTCCCAAAAGTAGGAGGTACTCAATTCGTCTGTGTGTTTTTTTTTTATTAATATCTTGTCTTACTAATATTATAAATGCGAAAGTTTGGATGGATGGATAGAGTTTGTAGCCTAAACGGTTAGACTGATTTCAATTAAATTTAGTATACACGTAGAGGATAGTCTGGAAGAAAATATAGGCTACTCAATTTTTTTATATAATTTCACGTGGACGGAGTCGCAAGCGAAAGCTAGTACGTCATAATTGTAACCTTTACCTTTGCAGGCCAGTTGATATCAATATAAGGAGTTCTCTAAAGAAGTACTCTAGAGTGGTGAGAGGCCGCCTCCATAGCACCAAACTGTCTGTGTCCATTTGGACGGGTTTATTTCTGAAATAAAAAAAACAACACAATCTATAAAAAAAAAACAAATATGAAGAATATACTAAACTATAAATATGCTTATATTATAAAGAAGAAAGATTTGTATTTCTAAATTTTTGTTTATGTTGAAATAACTCAAAAACTATTGGGCCGATTACAAAAATTCTTTCACCATTAAAAAGCTACTTTAAGTAACGTAGGCTATATTTTTTATACGTAACGAATAAACACAAATAAATGAATCGATTTGAAAACTTCTTTTGTTACTAAAATGCTACATTATCATGAGTAACATAGACTAAATTACTATCTTTTTAATTTCGCACGACGAATTCGCGGAAAAAATCTGGCTGAATACATCAAATTAAAATGTCACAATGAAGATGCTATCTACTGCAATATGTGGCAACCCTATCACGCCAATAAAGCATGCATAAATGCATGTTCAAATCGTTAAGATATCAGTAAAGATTCTTCGTGGAATCGTTTCTTATTGTGCATGTTTACTTTTTACAAACACGTAGATCGTTAATTTACTTGCTTACTACAAATGACATGATTAGATAACGGTATGGTTAAAAAGAAAGATTGGTGAAAGATAAAAAAAATAGTTAAAAAACGTATCGTGAACATATCTGTCCGGAAATTCTATTTTTTACGGATAATTTACAAAACTACCGATCTCGACCGGACTTGCGGGCACAGGCTACTTTTTGGCCTTACAATGACAAAGTTGCGGGCAACATTACTAACATTAATATAATCAAAATGTCAGAACCATTTTGTAGATAGAAGAGCTAAGACATTGCTGGATTAGAATCATGGGAAGTTAGTTTAAAAAACATTTCAAGACACCATCATGGGATAAAGCCAGCAAAGAAGATTGAAAGATAGTTTTTTTTAAATAAAACTATTAGTAGAGTTTTGTTAATTTACTAATATTTCCATTAACCATTCTAACTAAGCTCTAGGCTTGTGATAGGATACGGTTCACGACAATAGTCGAATGGCGGGATTCGAATTTTCGACCGCAAGATCGGTAGTCCATACCCCAAATCATTAAGCTATTGGCACTTTATTAGATAAAAAGTTAACTAGTAATTGTTTGTACAGATGGAACTTGGAAGTACTCTACCGTTCTAGGTTGTTTAGGTTCTAACTTAAACATACTTGATGTCTTTAGGAGTATGCAGACCGTTGCGCGGACGCTGGTCCGTATCGTTTTGCTGCACGGCCGCCGCCAGCTTGTAGTACCCGAGTCGGGCCAACTGCAATACAAAACATCGTATTTACATCAAAATAACGCTCCGACACGTCTGCATGCGACAAATAACAATCGTGAAATAACTCGTGTAGGAACTAAGCGGAAGTGAATTGTCTGTGATTTATTTTACACTATGGTCTTTTAGTTTTAATACTTAAGTGGTTTATTTCAACATTTTTAATACATAATGGTATACAGTAATATGCTAAACTATTCAAAATTACATTTAATATATTTAATTCAATAATAAAATTTTACAAAAGATTTTAAAATTGTGCAATTCCAAGAGAATAATATTCACGATATGTTAATTCCGAACATTATCATGTCCATGCACTATAGTGCAAAATTTATCGTTTTATGCACTTTTGAACAAATAAGTCGTAAATAAAGGAAAACAAATAAAAGTGGTTTCGTGGAACAAACAAATTGGTTGATGGAAGTCACGGACTAAAGTGCTTGATAAAAATATTCATTAAATTATACTTTATTATAAAACTAGCTTTCGCCCGCGACTCCATCCGCGTGGAATTAAAAAAAAAAAAAGAGAGTAGCCTATGTGTTCTTCCAGACTATCCTCTACATCGATACCAAATTTCATTGAGATCCGTTCAGCCGTTTAGGCTACAAACACTAATCAACATCCATCCATCCATCTAAACTTTCGCATTTATAATATTAGTAAGAAGTAAGATGAACAAAAACAGAACATAAAAACCTTGTTTTTAGAATTCCCTTTGAATAAATGTTTGGCACTTAGCACTTATGTCAAGTGAAACTATATAAACCTGGGCTATAATAAAGTAACCTTTAATGAAATAAAAAAAATAAAAGGACCAACACTAAACTGAATGTAACTATACTAAAATTGTGAACCAACATCGTATACAAAAACAATCAAATTATAATAATAATATTTACTTCTAAGATATTCGGCAAATTACATTTAATCTCTGTATATAACTGTTTTATTCTTGGAATAAATTTTTAACACACAACGTACCTTTTAAACAAAGAAAACCACACGATACAAATCAGTTAAAAACATGCACACAGACATACAAAGACCATGCAAATCTAATTTGCACACACGGAATCGAGTATCAACATCGACGAGTGAATATTAACTGTGACATCACTTTACAGCCGCGGAGAAATGAGTTTCACTTTCGAAAACCACAACAGAAAGAGAGAGTGAAAGTACTCTCTCTTTTTATCATTTCACTATCACACGAGGTCAAACGTTTGCTGGCCTTTGAACAAAGCTCGTTGAGAATTAAAAAAAAAAGCGCCAATTAAACGTCAAGAGCTGTCAACTGTTTGAATTTAAATTTAGAACGAATTCTTTTTTTTCGTAAGATTGTTTTCGTTATAAATAAAAGCTGGGCACAAATCGCTACATTCTTCAGCTTTCCCTACATCATACAAACATTGTGAGCAATATTTACTCGTTGTTTTGAAAAATGTCAAATGGTTACAAATCAGTTTACGCGGGAAACATCTTTGTTATGTTAACATTGGCCGATGATAGTTCAAAGAAATGAAAGTTTACAATGTACAATGAATTTCGCGGCAGCTGAGCACGTCATCGACCTTACTGGCTTATTTCCAATACAAAATTGAAGTACAATTAAAAAGAATAAGATAATTAAGTCCAATAGAAAATCACTTTAATACTAACGCAATAGAGTTCAACATCAAAATCAAAACATTTTGTCTTCAAAGACACTTTCTAATATTTAAAATTTGTCGAAGTAGACATGTTTATCAGGAATTAAAATATGTATAAAAAAGTAAGGGAAAAAGTGCACTTATAATATTTGTATGGGTGTTTGTGCAATTAACACTATCTTGCGAGAACCATTACTTCAACACTTTTCCCATCTTTAATTATTACCCTTATTACTATAACCTTAAGGTTGGACATAAAACAATCGACGTAAGAATGGCGCGACAAGGTGGCGTGATCATGCGGGGAGCGTTGATCCAATGACCCGCATTCATAGCCAACAAATCATTCGTACGTGAAAACTGAGCGGAATTAAATGTAATTACATAGTTTATAATTTGTAAACGTGCAAATATGAATAAACTGATTATGCTTAAACACTAAGGGCCTGTCCCACCATATTGTAAATTGTCTGATAACAATCCAACGTGTAAAATATGTGATAGAAATATCAGATTTTGTTACCTTATCTAACAGTGACGTCATTTCTAAGTCTCGATCAGCCAGTGGTGGGACAGGCCCTTAGGGTATTTATTTCCGTGAAACAGAGGCCTTAGAACTCCTGCTGAATTAAATTGTATCAGCCGATAGTTTGTCGTGGTCGGTGTTTTGTTCGCATCACCTTACATGTTCATACTAATTAAGCGCCCGGCTAAACTATTGGCAGATATAGTGTGTGGTGTGTGATGGCTCTTACTGCGAGTAGCATTGCATTTGACTGGTAATTGCTAGCTTCTTCTCTTTCTGTATTGATGTAGGTTATGTCTTATTTTCTCTGCCACTATACAAATGGGATATACAGTAGAACTTCCGTAAGTTAAAATCCAAGGGAAACACAAAATATTTTAAGTAATACAGGTTTTAAGTTATCAAGGGTCTATGTTAGAGAGGTTTTGGGCTCTGATGGGAAGGGAACATATTATTTGTTTGGAATTATAGAGATTTTTCTGTTAACGAGGTTCTACTGTAGTTACAAGTGTTATTTTTTTAATTTCTTTTTCTAACAATGAGAGACCACAGGTCTAATACGTCCAAGGTCGTTGGTTATCCTCAATGCTAGTGATAATTAAATCTTATCAGGTGTGAGCCAGTTACAAATGTCACGTGAAATATCATCATTTATCTAATAGTGCGTGCTGATGATAGCGTTTGTCCGGTTCGAAGGACCAAATTTCTAATCCCAGTATTATTTCGTTAAAATAAAAAACCTCATACAGTATTCAATAGACAATATCGATTTGAGTGCGTCTAAAATTGTCTTCCTAATATTTAAGGATATACTGGTCAATTAACAACAGTCATATATTGAAATAATCATCAGCTGTTAGATAAAATTGTAAATTAAAAACGTGGAGAAAATTATGTACTTATAAAATCATATTAGTACATGAAGGAATTCCAACCCAAGACCTGTAGATTACAATTAAGGGGTACCACTGAGCCACTGATGCTCGTTACGTAACGCTGTGTCAATATTCATTCGCACCGACTACTTTCTTTACAATTTACAATAGACTTTCACATCGCCTACTGAAGCAAAGCCAAAAAAAATTTAACAGTTCGCCGAACTTTTTAACTCAATATTCAATGAAAGCCAACTTTTACAATATAATAAATTATTATTATCAAAACCTTTATTCCATATTATCTTAAGATCTATTTACTAGGTTTCGCCCGCGACTGAGTGCGCGTGGAATTAAAAAAACGATAGCATATAGCCTATGTGTTCTTCCAAACCATCCCTCTACGTCTATGCCAAATTTCATCGCGATCCGTCAAGCCGTTTAGTCTTAACTCTAGCAAACATCCATCTAAAATTCGCATTTATAATATTAGTAAGATGTATCGAACTTGGAACCTTTCTATTGACGCTATCTACCAAGCTATAACAGCTAATTTAAAGGCAATAAAATGTCTCGACGTTCACAATAATTACGATAATTGTGGCGTTAATTACCAGTAGCACAGATAATTACAAATCTATTTTCACTCATAGCAACACGACGTTTACGAGAAATGATAGAGTAATGCTTTCAGAAAGGAAAACAGCAAGAATTGATTTATTTTACGAGGAAAGGTATTTATGAAAATGTTTGTTAAACTATTATTATTCTCGGAATCCAAGACAGAGTATTTTCGATAGAATTGCTTTGGAAAATTTGAAAAGTATATTCTATCGAGTAAGAACATCGTAACCTTGATTCCGATATCGACACCATATTTATAGAAGAGTTTTCTTTAAATTTTACCGTGTTGCTAAAATCCCCGGGAACAAAGAACACAAACAAAGGAACAACGAATTCGCGCGAAAACTAATTTAATTCATTATGTGACTAAATGTCTGCGGAATTTGGCAACATTTCGCATTTATTTTAACACTAGCCCGCGACTTCGTTCACGCAATATTAAGATAAAAAAGTAGCCTATAATATGCCCGTCTATGTCAGCTACCCTTCAGAGTAAGTCCGGTCGAAATCAGTGCAGCCGTTACGGAAATACGACACAGATACGACATCTTTTTTTTTTTTATATTACAAACACACTCTAATTTTATTATATGTACTAGCTAATCCCGTGCTCCTTCATCCGCATGCAGTTATGTAAATTTTATTTTTTTGTTTACATTTGTTAAATTATCATGACATGATGACAAACCATTGCAATCTTACTTCCTTGATGTTGGCAGCTACTTATGGTGTGTTTCTCACATTAGGGCTTTTATCCAACTTACCCCTGAGTTTGATAGCGTGAAAATATATAGCCTAAAGCGTGACGATTACGTCACGCTATATAGTCCTTCATTAGAAGGACTTTTAATTTAAAAAAAAATACTCAAAAACAAGCTGTGATTGCTGACATTTTATGCTACGAAGTAGTGTGTGTTTACGCTTTATTATATTAGTAAAGATAGATAACTAGACGGCACATCTTTTCAACTCAGATATCAACAACTTCGTCTCTTATCTGCTTTTTTCAAGCTGTCACTAATAAAACGTGTGACACTCCACAGAATACTAATTTTAAAACGGTAACAAGCCAAATAGTTAACGCGCCAAAACCCGGCGACATGACGTTCGGATTAATCGATACCATAATAATATTTAACATCAACCTTGAGTCTTTATTCGATTCTAAATTTTACACTATCAGATCGATGGCCCCCACGTAGACTGTCGTAAGCCATATTTTTGAGATTTATACCTGTTAACACTAGCTGTTGTTGAAAGAAAATAATAAAAAATATAGCCCATGTTACTCATAGATAAATTACCTTTCTAATGGTGAAAGAATTTTTGAAATCGGCATAATAGTTTTTGAGTTATTTCAGTACATACAAAAATCGAAATATCCAAATCTTTCCTCTTTGTAATACGTCTAAAACTGTTAGAGTATAGTATCAACTGGAAGGATATTACCATATACGCCAAAAACTTTGAGTTTAGCTTCCATCTAAAGTGGGAAAAGGTAATTTCTGTTAAATCGATTGTGTAAAATTCTAAAAATAAAACTAACCCATTGGTAAGCCATGCTTAAATTCATAATCCGATTAGAACGCTCCATTAACTGGAACTAAACATTGTCTCCCTCGTAGGTATGAGTATGCTTATGTAGGTTTATCATGGGCGTAGAAAACGAGAGTAAGGACAGCATATAATCCATAAATTCGAAAAATATAAAATAGATAGGGATGTATGGAAAACCAGCACATACTGTGCCGACCCTCCATAAGGGATAAGGGCAAGTTGATGATGAGATACAAAATAAAGACTTCAAAAAAGACCTTATTAATAGTGCCCCAGTCCTCTTTTTTACAATAAAAGGGGGGAAACAAGCGGCGGGAACACCGAGGTGATAAACAACGTCCATAGACATCCGCAACACCAAAGCGACCCACATATGCGTGGCCGGCTGGAAATGGTAGGCTCGCTTCTTGAAGGACCCTAAGTCGTACTAGTTTGGAAATACTGCCGATCACAGACCGTTCTATACCGCCGCTGTGCGAGGCTATAGTTCCGCGACAACCACACGGTTGTGGAATGCCAGCCATCGAGATGCTGAGGATGGTACCCCTTAGCCACAGCCCCCTTGAGCACATCGAATATTCACACCTATGTACAGTCACCTTCTTTCGCGGTGTTCCAACAAATGACAATCGTATAATCATGTCAGCCTAGATTGGATAGAGGTCGTCAACTAATATTCCTCCAGTGAATATAGCGCAATTTATAAAGCTAACAACATCCTATTTGATTAATTGTAAAAATGAGCGGACTTAATTTCGATGAGAGGTGAAAGTTGTTATTCTGTAATTGACGTAACACCAACATAGGCAACTGTACATTAAATTTTTAAATTCTAAAATAAAATTTAACAAAGATTTAGAGATTTAGACCACTGCTCTGTTACAGACATGACCTAATTTAGAGACGAAACACAGCAATGCGCCTCCCCTACATGGCGCAATGTTTGAATCATCGTGAGATACTGTCGAACTATTAAAAAACATGTTATGTGCAGCAAACATGCCAGGACACAAAAAACCGGATGTCAAATATAAAAAAATATAAAAATAAACGAAAGTTCTTTTTTTAAGTAATTATTTACATTCAGGGCCTAAGTCTGTTTTAAAAGATGGTCGACATTAACAGCATACTTATATTTTTCATATCAAATTTGATACTGTTTTCAAATATGGAAATGTACTCCATGTATGTTATATAGCTGTTCCCATGCTACTTCATCCACATGAAATTATTAAAATTTTATTTTATTGTTTACATTTGTCAAATTAAAATATCAAAATGACATGACATGATGACAACCTCGCTTCCTTGATGTTGGCAGCAACTTATGGTCTCTTTACCACATTAGGGTTTTTATCCAAAATATTTACTCCCTAATTTTAATGGTATTAAAATATAAAGCCTAAAGTGGGACATAAGAGTAGGGCTTTTTATTAAAAAATAGTTATTCAAAAATATGCTGTAATTGATGACATATTACGCCACAAAGAAGTGTGTCTACAGTTTATTGTAATAGTATAAATATAATAAATAAAAAATGGAAAAATATATTTAATCATAAGAGATTCATGTATATATTCACAATACATTTTATGCCCATAGTTTTCATTATTATTATTACTAAAGTTGCCAGTTAAAAGAAAAAAAAATACATAAAAAGTCCAAATCTATGAACTGGTCTTGAGATTTTTATAATAAATAGTCTAGTGTTAAAATTTAAGTTTCCATTTGTGTTATATGTTAAAGAAATCTAAGTTTGTAAAAATTAGTGTCTAAATCATTATTCAAATTATTTACACCATTGCCTCTGATAGCTTTGTTTAAATGCAAAATAAAACATTAATCATTAAATTTAAAAACTAAATCTTGAAACAGTTTTACTAAAAAAAACAAGTAACAAATCTAATAAAACAACACATATATCAACTAAAAATCTATTTCATAACAATTATTCTAAATAATTAGCAAACGTATCTGAGATATTGTTCCTAAACACACTTTTCTATACAAGTTATGAATGAATATGAAGTGAAGAATACCAACCTTTTAATATTTTCATCTAAATCAGAATATTCCAAATGCACTAATGAGCCTTTGTCTTACTTTTGGAACAAAGAGAATTATGAAATTACACTAAAACTGGACCATTTTCTAGCTAATGTCATCATACCACAGATTATAGCAATTATTGATGTCTATGGTGCTTTAATATGTACAAAAATGTTTGTTGACAAATTATATCTAACTAACACACTTGTCTAGCAAACAATTATAACAAATATAAGCAACACAACACTGCCGGCAAAAAAAACTATAAAACAAAGCACAACAAATCACACATTTTGATATACCAATTCGTTCTTGTTGCCAGAAGATCGTTGGCCTCGTTTCCTGCATTCAGCTCGAAGCTGTTCTTTGTTCATTGCTGCGAGCATTTCACAGGTGGTATTCTGCTTTGCTCTTCCATTGTCCGGTATTGAATTCTGTCTTGGTACAGTAAGTGATGAAGCCTGGTTACGGACTCGTCTAGTACTGGCTGCCTTGGTCATTTTTATAGGTTTGTACTTGTAAACAATTATGTTATACAGATACAAAATCTTTGTTTCATTCTAATATACTTCCTCCGTTATTCTCGTGTATCTTGGGCCTTGCCTACTTGAAGTAAATGTTGAAGCACAAAGTAATACAATTTTTTTAGTGTTATACATCATATGTTAGAAATAAATTGTAGCAAAAAAATAATGTTAACAAGAAAAAATCCCAGATTATATAAAATTCATAAATATGTATTGTAAAATTATTATACTACGTCTTTTGATAAATAGTTTCTGTTTGCAAATATTTAAAGCATTATTGATTACGTTTTTCGAAATAGTGCGAACAAGTTACAATAAAAGTCCTAATTGCTTCTTCAGCATTTACAGAACAAAAAGCCACTTTCAGCCCCTAATTAATAAGCGTAGATTAGGTTTATATAAATCATTCGGGGCAGTCAGCAGAAATTGATGCAATTTCTAACCTAATAAAGTGTAATAATATTAAAAATTTACTCACATTTAATTTATGTCCAAGTTGATAGTGTCTTTATTATAAAAGTTGATGAATTTATAACTAAATTTATCAGTAACTTTATTTGTTCTATTATATTTTCGATAACAAAACAAGCAACATCCACTCCACACAAAAATATGTCTACAACTAAAATTGGTAAGTTTGTGATTTTAAAAATGCAAGAATCTACCAATCGTGATCTTACTGAAGAATTTAGACAGTCTAAATACATTGGTTTACCTATTTGTTGCTGTAATTTAAGTGCATTACTTTTTTGTTCCTTTGCTATCTATTTGAAAAATGTTTGATTTACTTATTTCATGAAAAAAGGGCTGCGGAGAAAAATGTACTTTTTCAGTAAAATACGTATTAATCTGGTAACACAAGTAAATGGCTGACGTGGTTTAAAGACAAACAAAAAACACATTATACTTATAGTGTTTTGTAAAAAATAGAAAGAATTAAGTAGGTCCAAGTTTCTATAATTAGAAGTAGATTACATAAATGAACGAGGATTGATTTCCTTACTACATGTTAGACCTCTGAAGTCCGCAGACCCTCGTCTGGTCTTTTCATTGCCAATATAATGGTACATAATCTGTACGTATCTGATATCCGTCACTGTCAACGTCAGTTGTCAAATTTTTGCGGAAAAATTGCAAATACAAAGTAGTAAAATAAGACTTTAGATTTAAACAAGGATTTATTTTGAATTTTGTTGTTTACGCGCTATATTATCGACATACAGAATTACCTATATAACCGTACTTTAAAAACATTTTATTATCTTTTTAAATTTCTACCTACTTGCGGTTATTTGACTAGAATTTGGACGGGGCTTTCTTTTTTAATTTAGGTCTTCTCAATCGATGTAGTTAAAGTTAATAACCAAGACTGTGCCCTATGTTAGATTTAATTAAGGAATTAAACAAGTATAAGTACTACTTGTAAAATAGGTAAGTAATTTATCTGTACTCTATACTAACAAAACGTACAGACACTTCTTTGTTATATGGGTGTCTGTTATTACACTTTTTTTTTATAATTCGTTTCTTAATAAGAAGCCATACTCAACAACACAACACACAACAACACCTATTACATATTTTCAAGAGACTAAATTAATAAAGCTGTTTTACTCTTACAACACCCTTAATACATATTTTCTGGAAAAAGACTAAATTTATAAGAGCAGCAAAAAGCAAGATTTCTATGTTAACAGTAATTTTTAGCCAATAACAAAAGCCTTCATTATCATTTAAGCATTTTTATGGAATAAAATAAAAACACAAATTGACTGAAACATTAAAATTTATTCAATAATTTGATTTAATATTATAACAGTATATAAATAAAAATAATTGTTCACCATGCATCTCTAAATCATTGCAGATTTTGTTATACTTGATCAATAGTCAATAGAATGTTCTAAGAATGCCCAGAGGTGTTTTAAGAGAATTACAATGTCCTGAGGTAATTTAATTTTTATAATGAAGAGTACAAAACATTTAAATAAACAATACCAAAATCAAGTCTGTGTTTTAATATTTTTTATAAAGTCTATTATTTAAAAAGACTTGGCTAATTTGCTTCATGTCACATTTAAAAATCTAATATTAAATTCCTGCTTTAAAAATACAGAAACCTAATACCCGTCGTTCTTTGTCTTTGAAGAGAACACCATTAACTACAAGAAAAAAATTAAATGAGGTATCCATGTTTTTTTAATTTTTTTTTATGTAAACTAAAGATTAAAAATTGCATGTTAATTATATGACTACATAAGCTATAAGAAGCCAAGTACAACCCTTTTAAAATTTATTTTTAACTAGCTTTCGCCCTCGACTCCATCCGCATAGTATTGGAAATAACAAAAGTGAATAGCCTATGTGTTCTTCCAGACTATTTTCTACATCTATGCCATATTTCATCGAAATCAGTTCAATTGTTTAGGCTACAAACTATAACAAACATCCATCCATCTAAACTTTCACATTTATAATAGTAAGATTTGGTGGATAAACCATATGTAAAAACTAGCTTTTGCGATTCCATCCCTATAGATGAAAAAAATAGAAGTAGATAGCGTGTATAGCCTAAACATCTATGCTAAATCATCAAGATCTGTTTAGCAGTTGAGGCTACAATCTCTTAAATCCATCTCAACTTTCGTGTTTATTAAAGTAAGATGTCTACTTGTTCTATTCAATAGATTAACACAAAGAAAGAAAAAGAAAAAGAAAAAATAATACAACCAAAAGATATAGATATATTAGGACATTCCGCAATTGAAGATCCATTCCATTCCAAAGAAAATAATATTGGTTTATCTGAAGAATTTAACAGTTTTCGTTCTTATGTCTCTTCAAAAAATGATTTTTGTGCAAAAAGTGATGATACAATAATTTATGATTACAATATTGAAAATCCTGTCATTTCATTAGCTTTCAAATTTGACAATACTAAAAATGTTAAAGTTGGCACAGTAAAGACTATCATTAAGAAATTCTCCGTGTCTCATGAGAATGATGATACGAACATTACGTGCAATCTCATCGAGGATTCAAGTGAAGATATACAAAGCGAAGGTACAAATATGTCGGGAAACGCAAATGTACTTAGTCCAGATAAGCAAACTGTTGCTGTCAATTTAGAAATTAAAAGAGAAAGGGCAACGACAAATGATAACATCACAGAAGAAGAAAAAATTCTAATTTTGAACACTAATGCCATTGACAAACTTTCCCATGTCATTGTTCAACCACCAAATTATAAATTTGTTAAAAGGGACGTTTCGTTTTGTGATAAATCTAAAACTGGTGCAAAAGCTATATCAAATTTAGGACGTAAGAATGGTAAAATATCAGTAAGAGGTGACGGTTGGAAACAAACAACTATTAATGATTATTTTGGTGGAAAACTTCTCGTGCATACAAAGGAGTCTGGAAAAAAATTCATTCAAACACCATTAATTAATTCAATATATGCTAAGGATTTAGTGTTCGATGATGTCGAGGATATGAGTAAAAATTCAGGTGTCAATGACACTTTATTGAAATACGATAAAATTAGACCGACGGTCAAAGTTTCGAGAGAAAATGACATGCAATCGAAGGCAAGGTTATGTTCACCGAAAAGGGACAGCGCATCGCTCAGGCAACAGGATCTTAAGGCGTCTAGTTCTGAGGTACCGCGAAGTATTTCACCGAAGCTAAGGAACGGCAGCATCAGTTCATTCTCCCCGAGAAAGAATTTGGATTCGATACATTTCAGTCTACCGTCAAAAACAAGAAGCAATAAAACTAATGCGAATCCTCGGAATATACCATTTTACAAAATTGTTGCAGGTATACTACATTTGACTTCACACATATCTTTAAATTTATTCCCTGATATGTGCAGGTTGCAACATGATGTTTTCATACACCGTAAGACCGAAGTCCAGCGTGGTGGACTACGACCTCACTCTAATTTAAGATAATGATATTATATTTACGATTCTCATTTGTAAAAGCACAAATCAGATATAAAGAGATTTTATAATATGGGAATCCCCGAATTCTACCGACAATAGTGGCCTAAGCACGTTATTATTAAATTTTATCGGAAAGTTGTTGACCAAAAGACCGTATTATTTTCAGGTACACATTTTGCCGTAGACGCCTTTTCATACGGTGACATACCAAATGTTAATATTTACTTTCTAACTCATTTTCATTCGGACCATTATACAGGACTCAAAAGAACGTTTAACAAAACTTTATATTGCTCAAAAATTACAGGCAAGTGTTGAAAGTTTTTTTTTAAACTACTGATTTTATTGCAAAGACCAATTTTTACTGATGTTCATCATATCCTACCTTATTCTACTCCCGTAGGGTCGTCGCACCGGCTCTTTTCCTCCAAATAAATCTATCATACGTCATCATTCCCTTCATCATGTCATCTCAGTCATCACTCCCTTCATCATGTCATCTCAGTCATCACTCCCTTCATCATGTCATCTCAGTCATCACTCCCTTCATCATGTCATCTTTCACGCAATACATCTCTTTCTAAGTCTACTGGTGTACCTCCACATTCATAACTAACGTTTTTCTCGTTACATGCGATTCATCATGCATAAATTACCGATATTATTAGATCAAAATGTAACGGACAATTATGTATTTTTTTATTTTATTTGAAACAATTTTATTTTTAGCGGATCTTTGTGTTGCCCGATTAGGAGTGAATCCAAAACATTTACAAATACTAAATATTGATGATACGATCAAAATTGAAGGTATTGATGTGACTGCAGTTGACGCTAACCAGTAAGTCGAAACAAACAATTCTAGCAAAGCAACTAATGTATACGAATTTCTTTGAAAGGACATTTCAAAGCTGTACGAATTTACTTACCGCACTAAGATGAATCCTAGAGGATATCTAGTTTAATTCTAAGTTTAAATAACTAGCTTTTACCTGCGACTCTGCGCGTGAGATTAACAAAAATGGGTAGCCAATGTGTTCTAACAGATTTACAGGATAGTGTATGAGAAATTTCATCAAGACCCATAAAGCCGTTTAGGCTACAAAATCTAACAAACATCCATCTACCCGTCTATGTAAACTTTCGCAATTATACTATTAATAAGACTGCATAATAGACGTAATTAATAGGTATAGAATTTCTTAAAAATTAGACAAATACTGTGTTACTTTTCAGTTGCCCCGGCGCTATAATGCTCGTTTTTACGTTACCGAACGGAAAGAATTTACTACACACGGGCGATTTCCGAGCATCGCCGTTTATGGAATCTTATCCTGTTTTTTGGAATAAAGATATGCACACTATATATTTGGACACCACGTATGATATTTTTTCTAGTAAAATTCCCAATGTAGACTTCCTTATATAAAATTTCTTACTAAGTTCCATCAAATATGTTAAATTTTCCTTCGTAACATAGGTACTGCAATCCCCGTTATGATTTCCCAACGCAAGACCAAAGTTTAGAAATGGCGCTAAATTTACTAAGAGACAAGAAAACAAAATTGGAAGAAGCCGGAAAGAAATTCTCGTCAGTGTTGATAGTCTGTGGGGCATATACTATAGGTATATACACTTATGTTAATTTGAATTACTTAATCCCCCCCCCCCCACACACACTTAGTTCTGACAGTGTTCTGAAGAGTCGAACTATTTTGTTAAAAAAAAAATAAATAAAAAAACATACAGACGAATTGAGTACCTCCTTCTTTTGGGAAGTCGGTCAAAAAACTGTTTGTGTGCAACGAGGATAAGATCAATAGTAATTTGGACTCGCTCTTACAAACAATAGAATCCCCTATTTCTTTATTGCTTATCGCTTCTAACTTATTAGCTATCTCTCTCTAGAATCGACCACAATTGCAAACTGTATATCTCGCTCTCTCGTAACTGGGTCGTATATCCCTATCCCTGTCTCACGTAGGCAAGGAGAAGTTCTTCCTGGGTATAGCGCGGCGCGTGGGCTGTTTGGTGTGGGCGTGCCCTGAGAAGGATCGTGTACTGCAAGTGGTTGAAGGCCAGAGCTTCGGCCGCAGCGCTCCGCACACCTGCCAGCTTCACGTCGTGCCTATGCGGGAGCTCACGCATGAGGTTAAGGGCTTTTAGTGTTGATGACTCCAAGGGCGCCCAGGACGGAATTCAACACGCCCTATTCTAACGCTACTGGTTTGCAGAAGCTGCGAGCGCACCTTGACAGCTTGCAGGGCGCGTTTAGTGAGGTGGTGGCGTTCAAACCAAGCGGCTGGGAGAACGATAAGGCCACTGCCGTTACTAGGGACGCGGTAACCATACATGGTATTGAGTTTGACATATTTTAGGTGCTTAAGACATCTGTTGCCCGTGACTTTGTCATCTCAATGTTAAAAAAAACTACGAAAAAAGAACTGTTTATCCTTTGGGTTCCTGACACTTTTCGGAGCTGAATCGTGTCCCATGTACTAATCCAGACTTTGTTTTGTATCTGTGCCAATTTTTTTTAGATATGTTTAACCGTTGCAGAATTATCGAATAAACATGATAAAATAAAAAAAATAGTATCTCCCATGGAAACCGTAACTATCTTCGGCACTAGACGCCTGGTGTTCTAGACTTTCTACATTGTTTCCAACTTTCATCGAGATCCGTTTAGCAGTTTAGGATACAAATTCTAACATTCATACATTAGTAAGATGGAATACTCAGACCACTGTTTCCCGTCAGAAATGGCGCGTTATCTTAAATAACTGAATGACATTGAAAGCTGTCATAAGGATGGGATGTCTATGGCGATGATCTAGGGTTGTACCGATTTTCTTAACATTACAAAATGTTGTAAATGTGTTTGCAGGCATCCCTTACAGCGAGCACTCCAGTTTCTCTGAGCTGATTCGTTTCGTCAAGTTCCTGAAGCCGAAGCAAGTTGTACCCACGGTCGATATTTCGGGAGGTGTTAAAACTGTACAGGTATACAAAATTAATCTTTTTTTTGCAAGCTGTAATTTTTTTTTTGCAATAAACTAGATATTTTATGTGAAATTTTTGACATAATTAGTTTGACATGGTCCTCGCCCTAATCCAGGGGGGGGGGCAGTCCAATGAAGAGGAGGGATGGTAGTAATTTTTTTTTACGTTTAAAAATTTATAGTCCAATTTTTTTTAAATGACAAAGTGATTTTTGTTCGACTTTCCAAATGAAAGTTACCAATTCGTCAATTTTTGGGTTATTTATGTGGGTTTTTATAGAATTCATGTTAGTATTGTGCAGGGGGGAGTTGCCCCCCCTCCTGGTATTTACCATATGGACTTCCAAATGGTAAATTCGTCTGTATTTTTTGGTCATTTATGTGGGTCTCTACGGATTGTAAGTTAGTGTCTAGAGGAGTTGCCCCCTGGCGAGGTCCATGTGGTATGTCAGTGGTACTTTCCAGCAATTCTTCCCTTGCCCGCTGGTGTACAAGGAGGACCTGAAGTGCCAGAGTCGGCTGACGGATTACTTCGGCGTGCAGTCCCGCCAGCGCGTGCAGCCCGTCTAGATACCAAGGTTAGTAAATCATCTCCCCTACTTTTTCCTACTTCTGTACCGTTTTTGTTTTCGTAACCTTACTAATATTATAAATGTGAAAATTTAGATGGATGGATGTTTGTTACAGTTTGTAGCCTAAACGGCTGAACGGATTTCGATGAAATTTGGTATAGATGTAGAAGATAGTCTGGAAGAACACATAGGGTATTCACTTTTGTTTTTTTTTAATACCACGCGGACGGAGTCGCGAGCGAAAGCTA